GGACGACACCGCAAGCAGACCCTGAAGTTGGACGTGGGCCAGCGATTCGCCTCGTGCAATCTCGAGGTGGCCCTGCCCGCATCGGTCGCCTTCGACGGCGTATCGCGGCCCATCGACATACCACCGGCCGCACGCACACGCGCACTGGCAATCGGCCCACACCTTTTCCTTCGGAAAGATGACACTTTATGGATCTTGTTTACGACCCAACTGGAGACACAACACAACAAATGAATTATAAAGCAAAATAGAAAAATAAATATTTATAAAACAATTAATTTTGAATACAACGGGGGATGGGTGACTTTCACGGTCATCACATGGCGATGGAGTTGATGGCCAACTCGATCACGAACTTTTGCTTCACAATCGCATTGCACCTGGCCACACAGCACCGTTAACCTACGTTTGAGCTGCACACGACACGACCAACGACACACATGGCACGCACACGCCACGTATGACACACAAGCCAGCAACAGCGGTCGTACCACTCGTGCATGATGAGTTCATCGTCGGCCTGGAGCACGATGACGACGCTCTTGGAGTGGGTCACCTGGAAGCAGTTCTCCTTGTCCGCATACTCGGTCAACTCCGAATCGTACAGCGGGATCTTCACCGGGCGGCCCTGGTACTACCCTCGCCCCACCACCCCATCCATCCATCAGCTCGTGTCGTGCGGATCGTGCGTGTCGTGCGGTGTCGTGTGTATGAAGTGAACCTTGTCGGTGAAGACGAAGAGAATGCCGTCCTTGAGCACGCAGTAGCGTTTCTTGAAGCCCCACAGCGTCTTCTCGGCGAGGTAGCCCTCCTTTTTCTGTGGCCCAGCAAGCGTCACGAGCGTGAGCACAGCTCTGGGCGCCCAGAGGTGGCGCGGAGCAAAAACGGAGAAGCACGTGCACGCCCAGAGTTAAAAGGGGGGAAAGTGTGTGTGTGCGGACGTACGTCGACGTCTTTGCGCGAGATGACGGAGCCGGTTCGGCGGTCCTCGAATGCCGGGCGGTCGGCGTCGGCCGCGGAGGTCGCCTTGAGCTTTGCGATGATGCCCCTCAGCTGCGCCATCCAATGCCCACGCGTCTGTACCAACCAACACCAATGGAGATTTTTAATTAGTCAGCCATTAAATAAATAAAAAGAGAAAGAAGCGTACGTCGTCGCTGTCGGCCTGGAGAAGGTAGGTGCGCTCCAGGGTCTTGAGCTGGAAGCCGCCCTTCTTGCCCTTGATCACGTCGATCACCTCCACGTCCGCCAGCGGAATGAATCCGTTGGCCGTCGCCGACTAATGAACCGGGTATCAGCACCACACACACACACACACACACACACACACACACATAGCGCACACTAACGAGTGGCGAATGGAGAGGCCATGCGCGTACTTTCATCCCGGCAGGCGGGCGTTCGTTGTAGTAGAAGAGGCGCCCCTTGTGATGATAGAACCACCGCTTCTTCCAGGTCTTGATGGCCCCCAGGTCGCCCTTCTTCCACAGGTAGCCTTCCAGCTCCACCGATTCGGCCTCCCCATCACTGCTCATCGTCGTGGGCAGCGCCGGCAGCTTTTGGCTCGGCACGGGCGGACGACCGCCGCCCGCAGCCGCCGCGACGGCCACGGCGCCGGCGCCACCGGCAGCCACCGCCATTTCCTGCTCCTGTTCACGGAGCAGCTCCTCCTCGAGGCGCAGGACCTCTTCCTCCTCGCGGCGCAGGCGCTCCTCCTCCTCGCGCTCGATGCGCTCCATCTCGCGCTCGCGCTCGGCGGCCTCGCGGGCCAGGCGCTCCTTGGCCTCGAGCTGCTCGCGGTCGGCCTGCGAGAGCCGCGCCCGAGCCTCCTGCGACTGCTTGTCGCGCAGGTCACGCGCGCGCTGCTCCTCGTCGCGCCGCTCGCTCTCCTTTTGATCGCGCTCGCGCTGCTTGCGCTCGCGCTCCTCCTCGAGCTCGGCCAGCACCCGCTTCTCGATCTCGGCCCACAGCGCCTCCTCCTCGCTCCGCTCCTGCTGCTCGCGCTCCTCGGCCTCCTTGAGCAGCCGCGCCTCCTCCTCCATCAGCTTCTGCTCCTCTTCGAGCAGCCGACGCTTCTCCTCTACCATGCGCGCCTCCTCCTCGCGCCGCACGCGCTCCGCCTCCTCGCGCGCCCGCCGCTCCCTCTCCTCCCTCTCGCGCCTCTCGCGCTCCTCCTCGCGCGCCCTCTCCTCCCTCTCGCGCTTCTCCCGCGCCTCCCGCTCGAGCCGCTGCGCGTTGAGCCGGTCGCGCTCGGCCCGGTCCTTCTGCTCGCGCTCCAGCCGCTCCTTCTTCATCCGCTCCAGCTTGGCCTTCCAGTCCGGCTGCGCGCTGTCCTTCGGCGGCTCGACCACCGGGCCACCGCCCGCGGCCGCGGCCTGGTACATCGACGCCCGCTGGTGGATCGACATCCGCTGTGTCTGCGGGCTGCTGCCGCCAGCGGTGGTGTTATCCTTGGGCTTGGGCGGCTCGAAGGCGGCGGAGGCGGCGATGGCGGCCTGGTAAGCCGAGGCGCGCGGGTTGGTGGAGGTGACCGCAGCCGCGCCGGCGGCGGGGCGCTGGGACCACCGCTCCTCGCGCGCCTTCTTCTCCTTCTCCAGACGCAGCAGCCGCAGCCTGTCCGCCTCGATCTTGGCCTTCTCCTTCTCCTCCTTCTCCTTCGCGTTGTCCTGGGCTGCCGCGAGGCTTCTCTGCTTCGCCTCCGCCTCCTCCCTCTCCGCCTTTTCCTTCTCCTCCCTCTCCCTCCGGGCCTTCTCCTCGGCCTCCTTTCTCTGCTTCTCCCGCTGGGCGGCGGCAGCCTTGGCCGCTTCCTCCTCCTCCTCCCGCTTCTTCCGCTCCAGCTCCTCGCGCTCCAGCCTCACCCGCTCGTCGCGCTCCCTCTTCTCGCGCTCCTCCTTCTCACGCTGCTCGCGCTCGACCTTGGCCCGCCGCTCGGCCTCCTCCTCCTCGCGCTGCTTGCGCTCCCTCTCCTCCCGCTCGACCCGCGCCCGCTCCTCGCGCTCCCTCCTCTCCCGCTCCTCGCGCTCGCGCTTGAGCCGCTCCTCCTCCTCCCTCTTCTCGCGGGCCTCGCGCTCCTTCTGTGCCCGAGCGCGCTGGAGAGCCTCGAGCCGCGCCTCCCGCTCCACCTCCTCCCTGCGACGACGCTCGCGCTCCTCTTGCTCCGCGGTCTCCCTGCGCTCGCGCTCCTCGCGCTCCCTCTTCAGCTTCTCCTCGCGTTCCTTGCGCTCGCGCTCCTCCCGCTCCCTCCTCTCCCTCTCCTCCCGCTCGCGCTTCTCCCGCTCCTCGCGCTCCCGCCTCTCGCGCTCCTCCCGCTCGCGCTTCTCCCGCTCGAGCCGCTCCTTCTCCCTCGCCTCGCGCTCCTCCCTTTCCCGCCTGAGCTTCTCCAGCCGCTCCTTTTTGACCCGCTCGGCCTCCGCCTCCGCCTCTTTCCTCTTCCGCTCGGCCTCGGCCTCGGCCTCCTTCCTCTTCCGATCCGCCTCGGCCTCGGCCTCGGCCTCTTTCTTCTTTCGCTCGGCCTCGGCTTCGGCCTCTTCGCGCTCGGCCCGCTCCCGCTCCTCGCGCGCGCGGCGCTGTTCCTCCTCGTCCCGCTCACGCTGCTCGCGCTCCCTCCGCAGCCGCTCTTCCTCCTCCTTCTGCTGTTGCTGCTGCTGCTGCCGCTTGCGCTCGGCCTCGGCTGCTGCCTGGGCCTCCCGCCGCTTGCGCTCCTGCTCCGCGGCCTCGGCTTGGATCCGCCGCTCGCGCTCCTCCTGCTCCTTCTTCTTTTCCTGAATCTCGCTGAACACACACACGCGTTCAGTTGTGCTGCCACATCGCCAGATCTGAGGTGGCGTACAGCAATTTGTTGCGGTTGCGCTCGAGGGCCTCCTTGGTCTCTTGCTTGCGAAGGAAGGGTGCGGCCGCGCCGGCGTCAGCAGCGGGAAGAGGGCCCTGGGCCTTGTTGGGCGCCACGGTCTTGCGCAGGCCCGCGGCACCGCCTCCGCCGGCCATGGCGGCCGCCATCATGGCTGCGCCCATACCACGGCCGGCGCCAGCGGTGGGGGCCGACGCGCCGCCGGCTCCCGGTCCCGCCATCATCGCGATGACCGCTGCCGACGGCGCGGCGCCGCCCGGCGGGGGCGCTTCCTGGGCCTCGATGAGGAACGACGATTTGGCAGCCACCGCTGGCACCTGCTCAGCCGCCACCGTTAGAACACACGACACGCGCGCGCGCAACCACCCACGGCACACGCGACACACGACACACACCTTTTTGTGGTGGCCTCTCGTGGGTGGTCGCCGGCTCTTGCCGCCAGCACCCTTGACCATTGGCCGGCCTTGGTCAGATGCGTGATCTTCTCCGAGCTCTCTGCAGGCGCGCTGGCGGCCGGGGCAGGCTGCGCCGCGGCGGCGACTTCCTTCCGGACGATCGCGCCCGCCTGGATCCTGGCCGAGCGCCTGACCTCGCGCTTGTGCTCGAGCTCGGTCTTCTTCTTCTCAAGCTCCTGGCGCTTGCGCTCGAGCTCGGCCTTGTCCTTCTCCTCCTTGGCCTTCTGCATCCGCTCCAGGTTGCGCTGGAGCATCTGCGCCTCTGTCTCGCCGGGCCTCATGGCCCCGGCGCCCGACGAGGCCGCGGGTTGGGCGCCGGCAGGCTGCCCGGCCGTAGCACCCTGGGTGATGGTGGCGATGCCCGCTCCGGCCCGCTGGTCGCCGCCCGGCTTGTTGAAGAAATGATAGAACTGACTGTGGCGGGTGACATGTCCAATGTTGCGAGTTCGTGAGCGTGCGCGCGTGCGTGCGTGCGAGCGAGCGTGCGTGCGTGCGTGCGTGATGCCGCACCTGAGATAGGTCATGACGGAGAATTTGTCGGGCGTGGCGATGAGCATGTCCTCGACGTCGAGCAGCTGGGGGATGCCCAGGCCAGTGGCCGCCCGGAAGGCCGTGTCCAGATTCTTCTCCCGCTCACCTGCGCCGTACCACCATATGCATACAAACCCGAAGCGCAACGGCCAGTGGCACGGACAGCGAGATCGGTGAGCCAACACAGCTTTGCAACGTGCGTCGGTACCGATCGCCAGCGCGCAGCGAAATGAAAATGTAAAATAGTCCACTTTGGGTCGGCCACTGTTGGCTGGGGCCAGTGCGCGGTGGTGGCAAATATCCTCCATTTCCGTGCAACAAGAAGGCGTAGCACTGGACAGCGCAGGCGGGGTGCAGATAGACAAAAGACCAAAGCTGGTCGTGATGGGTGTAGTGGGTGGGGCTGGGCGCACCTTTTTTGAGGACCTTGAAGTCGATAAGGCCGGGCCGGTGCTTGTCCACGAGGGCGCAGAAGGCCAGACCATCGGCCCAACTGGTGGTAAAGTTGCGAACGTCCACCCCCGCATACCCCGCTGTAGCTCTCTGGCACCTGTGTTTATTTTAATCATAATAATCAGATGAATAAATATCTTGACACAAGCGAAGCCCCGCGTACCAAAGCAGTAGGGCCTCTTGGCCTCGCACAGTCGCCATGGGGTAGGGTGTTGCTGCAGGGGGTACAACACAAAGTTGTTTTTCAAATTTTAATTTTAATTTTCACCCTTTTTTTGTGGGGGTAGGAGTGGTATGCCAGGAATGCGAGCAATACAACGCTGAGCGAGAAGGCACAACGATCAGATTGTACGCTCACTGCGCTAAAACAAGAACGAGTTTCATTCAAGGAGCATGGGAGTGACCCTGAGCAAGGAAGATGACATGCTCGACCAATTTTATGGGAGGGGCTTGCGGGAGCTCTCGATGAACGGGAATTTCAGCTCCCTACCAGAGGAAATCATCCTCCACATCTTCTCCTTCTGCGATGTGCGATCTGTGTTGGAGGCTGGCACCTTGTGTCGGCGCTTGCGGAAGGTGGCAAGCGACGAGACAATCTGGAAGACCATCTTCAAGGCCAAATGGGGAACTTGCCGATCGCGCGAGGAGGGAGGGATCGACCAATACGATTGGCGCGAGGAGTTCATGAACAGACAACGCTTCGTGCTCGAGAAGAAGAGGGCGAGAGCCGATGCCTCTACATCGGGCAATAACACCAGCCTCGCAACACAGATCTGGGACTCTGTGGTGTCCACCCTCAATCCCTTCGTGCCCATTCGCAAACGTAAGGTCGTCTTTGTTGGTCTCGAGGCTGCTGGCAAGGTACCTAGCACCCCTGCTCCGTTGCTTTGCTCGCTACTCCATCTGTGGTGTACCAACACGCGCCTGTTCGCGAATGCACAGACCACCTGCTGCTTCAGATTGCAAACGAACGGACCCGACCCCAACTACTTCCCCATTCCTCGTCGTACGTCTGGCCGACAACGTTGCCTCCACTGGCGCTCACGCTTCCCAACAACAACAGAGTGCTTCCCCCCGATCGACGTCTTCCAGACGCGCGAGCTTGAATTCGTGGCGTGGGACGTGGGCGGCTACAAGAGCAAGTACTACGACAGCTACAGCCACCGCGTCTTCGCTCCTCGCCTCCAGGAGTGCGAGGCGCTCGTGTTCGTTGTTGACGCCTCTGAAGACGAACGCCGCATGACCGTACACACATGCCCTCTCCTTGCGCGTGATTGTGAGGCTTTGGCTGACACGACTCGACTCGACTCGATCACAGGAGGCGAAGAGGGAACTGTCGGCCGTGCTGGAGGCCAAGATGGAGGCCATGTTCGAGAAGTCGCTCAACCTCTTCGAAAGGGACAACAGGCCATTCCCCGTGATGGTGTTGGCCAACAAGCAGGATCTTCCTCGCTCCCGAAAGGCCGACGAGGTGTCACGCTTCTTCGCCTCCTGCTTCGAGCCCTACGAGAACGTTATCTGGACGTGCCGGGCCGCCTGTGCCGCCAAGAAAGAAGCCGAATGTATGCTCATCCACCGCTCTTCCTCTGCACACCAAAGACACACCAACGACACACCACACGCATACTTACCATTATTGGCAGGTCTTACGGAGGCGGTGTGGTGGCTGCTGTACGAGATGGAACACACCCGTTGATCCTCATGTTCACCCACAACCACCCATGTACATCATTAAATCCCTCCGTAGAGGAGAGTTGTAAACTCGTTACGTTGCTCTGGTCTTGTTGTGCGATCTTTGCCGCGTGCGTGCGTGCAACGTAGCCTGCCATCGTACGAGGCCCAGCATGTAAACATTTCAATATTTCTTGGGGTGGTGTACGCTCACCCCAACGTGTCTCCCTCTCTTCCCTCTTCCATGGCCAGGTAGGCTCGGATGAGTCGGCACTTGCCACATTGGCAGTCCTTCTCGTGCCCAGGCATCGCTCCCTCTTCGACCGCTTCCGCTTCCGGTTCCACCTCCTTCTCCTCTTCCACGCCGTTCAAGCCTTGGAGGGGGGGACGAACACGACGCACGAGTCAGCCATTGAAGGAAAGAGGTGCGCACAGGACACGTACTGGTGGTGTCGGCGGCCGGATCGGGGTCGAGCTCGCCCAGGTCGATCGAGAGGTCGTAGAGTCGCGAGTTGTCGTCAGCGGTGGTCATCGCCATGCTGCCCGTTATCGCTGCATTGCACGCACATCATCTCGTAGGCGGACACGACACCCAATACACACGGCACACACGACACGACACCGACACACACGACACGACACGACCAACGACACCCAACACACACGACACGACAAAGGGGGGAGGGGGGTACTGGTGTCGGGGTTGACTGGGAACCCTCGATCGGCGGGGAGGAGGATGAAGGTCTGCTTCCAGTGGGTGGGCTTCTCGCCCGGCGCGGTGGAGAGCACCACCACCTGGCCGCCCGTCGGTCGCATGTCACCCGAGTCTGCCGCTGCGTCCGAGCCCTGCACCGCCTGCGACTTGCTCTTGTAGGTGTGGTGGGGGTCGAACGTGACGTCGAACCACACGCAAAACCCGTGCATCGTATCGTCCCTTTTAACAATAAACGAGGACGACGTCAGGGAAATTGACCAATTCTGGTGTATGACGACGCAAGTGGCGAGAGGGAGTGCAGTACCGGAGGATGGGCAGTTCAAAGTTGCGTTTGATTCTGCGCAATTGCTGCGGGCTCACGGAGAGGCAGTCGATGTCTTTCACCAGCAGGGGGTGAGACAGGAGCTGCTCCTTCTCGACCGTGATCTGAATCTGTCTCAAGTTACCCCCCCCCCATTGCACGCACCGCCTGGATGAGCGCACGTCGCGAGAGCCTTCTTCGCTGAACACCAGGAGCGGTGGTGGCGCAGGGGTGTACCTCGGGCTGGGCCATCAGCTGGGCCTTGACCGCAGGCAAAAGAGCCGAGTAGTCAAGCCCGTACACATCCTCCCAGAAGGTCACGCTTCGCGCGGTCAAACAGAACGCGTAAGGCCGACATGGTACAAACTGCGTGTGCGGTGTGTGCGGTGGTGTGCGTGTGCGTGTGGTGTGTGCGTGTGATGCGCAGGACGTACTGTTCTTCGTAGTAGCTGTCGAGGTTGACAGGCGCCAGGAAGATGCGCGAGCGCGAGGGGAACACCAGCCCGCCCTCGTTAAGCCACTTGTCGCGTGCGTAGAGCACCGAGTCCAGCATGGACTCGTGTAGCAGGTAGAACCCCATCCACTCGCTCACGATGATGTCCACCTTCTCCGGCAGCTCCACCTCCTCCATTCGCCCCTTGATAACCTGTCATGGCTCAGCTCGCGCGTTAGCTGCTGCTCCTGCGAGCTGGTGCTGCAGCTCCAGGCCTCAGCGAGGTCAAACTTTGATACCTGGATACGATCGGCGAATCCGTTCTTCTCCACCAAGAGCTGTGCGACGTTGGCCATGTTCGAGCCCTCGACGGCGTAGACCTATGGATGGTTGGGTCAGTGACACTGGAAAAAACAGTGCTGCGCAGTCTGACTGAACCTTCTTGGCGCCGGCGCGGGCGGCGAACATGGCCAAGAGGCCTGTGCCCGTTCCGACGTCCAGCACCACCTTGCCCTGGAACGCCTCCTTGTTGCCCTCGATGGCCTGCAGCACGAGCGGGCCATCAAAAAGAACACAACACGCAATGCTCTCTCTCAAACGACCGTGCTCAACACACAACGCGGCTGATCAGTGTCGTGTGCAGTGCGGAGGGTACCTTGCGGTAGGCTTCGCTTCGCGGCCGATCGCGTAGCATGAGGTGGTGCACGCCCAGGTCTTCGTAGCTCTCGAAGTAGTCCTCGGCCGCCACCGTCTTCGGCTTCTTCTGGCTGGCTGTTGGAGGCGGTGGTAAGAGGGGGAGGGAGTGGGGTGCAAAGTGGTCCAGCTTGCAGTTCAGTTCGTACCGTCAGGAGGGTAAGATGAGTTCCCGCTCGGCGCCAGTTCGCTCTCATTCCGCTGTCTCTTACGGCTGGATGAAGAACAAAGATTGATTAATCTTTGTTCTAAATAATGGAAAGCAAATGATCGCCATGCACACCACAGTACAGTAGCAATGGACTACCTCGGCTCCTCCATGATGCTAGATCTCCGGAAGCGAGTAAGATCTGCAATGGCGGGATTGACAACACTGAAATAATCAAATCAAAATAAAATAAAACTCTCCGGCGATTTCGCTTGTTTGTTGCAGATTGCGAGGATGTTGGCGCGTCGCGGAGTGAACCCTCGATTGGTGGGCCTGGAGGGCCGCGCCGGCTCTGTCTCCCGTTATGGCATCGCTTCCTCTCCCGCTGCGCGTCATCTGGCATTTCCCACCCGCACATTTGCCACCACGACCAGATCATCTTCATCTTCATCTTCCAGCGCCCCGTCATTGGCACGGCGCCGCCTGCCATCCATCATTTCGCGCGGCAGCGTCTTCTCTTCCACCTCTTCTTCTTCTTCCATTTCTTCCTCCGTATCAGCGGCGATGCTCATTCGGCATGAGCGGAGGTGCTACGCCACCGAGACTGTCGAGGTATTCCCCCAAAGCTTGATGGATTGAATCAAATTCAATTTTTTAAAAAATAATGAACGATGATGATCGCACACAGGAGGGCGCTACTGCAGCGGCCGAGGCGGCGACACAGACGGGCGCGGCGGTGGAACGCGGCAGCGATGCGATGGCCTCGTTCATCGCGGCCGACCCGGTGACCAGCTTGACGCCGGCAGCGCTGGAGGTGGTGGAGCGCACGACGAGCTCGTTCCCGCCCATCAACTGGCTCGTGGACGCCATGACGTTCGTCCACTACACCGTGCCTCTCTCGTGGGCCGCGACCGCCGTCTGCTTCACCCTCGCCTTCCGTACCATGATCTTGCCTGCCGTACGCCATCCGAGTGGTCCCTTGACATTCTCCTGATGACGCTCACCTTGTCGTGTGCGTGTGTCATGTTCAGGTGGCCCTGACGATGCAAAACAGCGCCAAGATGCGCGCCGTTCAGCCCGGTACACACGGCACACACACACGACACACACGACACACACGACACACACGACACACACACACGCACCACACACACACACACACGACACCACACACACACGACACACACACGCACCACACACACACACACCACACACACACACGACGCACACAGTGTAAGCTTTTTGTTTACATCCGTGCGGTGTCGACCACAGAGCTGGAGAAGATCAAGGCCAAGTACGGCCCCAACGTCGGCAAGGACGTCAACGTCGCCATGCAGTACCGCGAGGAGGTACGGCTGTGGCCCCACCACAAACCCAACGCGCCTCATACCCGCCTTGACCGCCCTTCCGCGTCCATGCGCGTGCTGGTCGCAGGTGAGGAAGATGATGGCCCAGTCCGGCGTCAGCATGTGGAAGACGATGGTGCCCTTCCTCGTGCAGACGCCCCTGTTCGTCAGCTTCTTCTTCACCACCAGGAAACTTGGTACGCGCTAACGCTCATTCATTTTCATTCATAAATAATTCGTTGCGCTGACCCCTGGCACTTGTAGCTGAGGAGGAGCCGGGACTTCGGGATGCCAGCTTCCTGTTCTTCAACGATCTGTCGGCGGCGGATCCCTACTACATCATGCCCATCCTCACTTCGCTCACCATGCTCGCCACCATCGAGGTACGCAGCGCGCCCCCGAGCCATACAGTGACGCAACAGTTCGCGCTCTACGCGGCCAACTGACGCACAATACTCCCTCGGGTATGTGTATGTGTATGTGGAACACACAGCTGGGCTCTGATGGTGTCGGCGGTCAGAGCAACCCGGCGCTCAAGAACTTCCTGCGACTCTTCTCCGTGCTCGCCATTCCGGCCACGTCCAGCCTTCCCATCGTACGCGCCCCTCTTGTCCCTTGGATCGACGTCGTGTAGCTTGCTGACGTGCGACCACTTCGCGTTTTCTCTCCTACGCGGCGGCAACAACCAGTTCACGCACATCTACTGGTTCTCGTCGAACTTGTTTTCGCTGTGCCAGCTGGGCCTGTTCAAGGTGCCCTTCATCAAGAAGGCCCTCGGCCTGCCCGACTACCAGGGCGTGTCGCCCATGCTGGGTAGCTCGGACCCGCAGCCCGCCAAGCCCGAGGTGACCTTCCAGCAAAAGCCCAGGATCATCAGGACCAAGAACCAGAAGTAGAAGGAGAACAGCGAGCACTCCGCCTTCGTCATCCATCGCTCATCTGACCAAAAATGAAGCGCGTTCGCCATATGCGCCGTCGCCTGCAGGTGGGTTGGGATCAAAGCCTCAACTGAAAAAAGAAGGAAGGAGATTGCGGCAGGGAGTCGAGAAGGCATGCTAACCACTACACCACAGTGCCGACACCGTAAGCATCGACACCGCCCGGAATCGAACCGAGGTCGCCAGCGTGACAGGCTGAAATTCGAAGTACTCCCATTGCACTACGCTCCTTTCTCAGCATTTTAGACCGTCCAGGCCACCTCCCTGCTGCGTATTTTCTTTCTTGTTCCAATTGCCATGCGGACAAGGTGAGGCCCTGCAAGTTGACAAACCTCCCTTTTCTTGGTGGTAAGGCAAGGCCTCAATCGCAAGCCGTCGAACCGCAAGGAGGCCCATGCGCAGCTCACCATCGTCTATTACTCATTCGTCTTCGAGGAAAGACCATATCTTGACGGTCTTGTCGTTGGCTGTCACAGACACATTGAGATGATGAGTGACGAAGCTTGTGAGTTGCTCAAGGGGCTCTGGGAAGGGTACCGCCGGAAACAATGCGTCGCGAAGAGCAGTGGATCGAACGGACGCGGTCGGCGTGTTGCGTTGCGCCTGGTACTCCCACCACGAAGTGCGGTAGCTCTTGCTCCGCTGTGTGCTCAGTCCCTATTACTACAGCACGACACACGCGCGCATACCACCGTTAGGGCATTGTGGAGCGAATTGGCTGGGGACTGCAGTGGCCGCTCACCCTCGTCAGCGAATTCTTCAAGGCGCGTAAGGTCGAATACGCGGATGGTGCAGTCTCGTGAACCGCTCACCAGCTTCATCGTATCGAATTGCAGTTCGCGTACAGAACCTGCCAGCACACAGTTGCGGCACTCGCCAGCGTTAGCGCCGTATGACCGGGCGTGCGTGCGTGCGTGTGTGCGATACCTGTGTGGGCGTTGAGGGTTGTGCGCAGTTTGCCGCCATCATAGATCTGAATGATGCCGTACGTGACATGGCCTCCACCCACCTGCAGCAGTGGTGTGAAAAGAAGTCTAACATTTACCTAGCGGGCGGTCGCGGGAATGGAGAGAGAAGAGAAGAGTACGATGAGGCGATCGCCATGCCATTGCAGACACCAGATCGGGTCATTGCGTGGTAGAGCACTGCAGAAAAAGGATTTAGTGTCGCGGCGCGCGTGCGCGTGCGTTGTGGCCGGCAAGTACTCAATAGTAGAGACCAGCTTGCCGGTGCGAAGGTCCCACTCATGAACCGAGCCGATATCCGAACCCGAGACCAGGCGATCTCCTTCTCTCCCAAAAGTGATTGTGAGTGGCCTATTCAGAATGGTGTGTGTGTGTGTGCGCGCGCACCCTGAAACTGGAAGCAGCGGCCGCTCTCGGCACAGTAGGCCGATGTGGGGATACTAAGCACACAGTTGGCATTTTCCAGGTCCCACAGTCGGATATCCTTCAGCGACTGTGAGATCATCCTGTTGCCCTCGATCTGCATCATCCACGGCCCGCCCTACACGCATATATATCAACATAAAAACGTATAAACATGTTAAATATAGAAACACAAGGCCTTTATCCTTGGCCGAGTAGGCTTACCCTGTGACCCTCGAACTTCTGGATGAGCTTTCCTCTCTTGTCGAGGTCGAACATCTTGATCACCCGTTCATCGGCGCACGACACCAGCTTCGAGTCATTGTCGATCAGCCTGGAGCGGATCGCACACGGAGCCAACACAAAAATTAAGCAACCACGGCGCGCGGAGGGGACAGAGTCGGTCTGAACGTCTGAGAGATCTGATTACCTCATGCATCGCACAAGCCCGTCGTGTGCCTCGATCTTGGCGGTCTGTTTTCCGCTGTTGATGGTCCATTGCGTGATCTCTCCCGATTCGTTGCCGCTCAACACGAACCCTCGCTCCTCTGCCGAGAGCTGCACGCAGCGCACCGTGTCCGAGTCGGAGAACGTCTTCACCGACAGACACCGCCCGTCCCGCCAATTCCTGTTTGCCCTCAAGCCACAAAAATGGTGAGCTCCATCAACAACATCTCAGGTACAGCACATAAGGGCCACTCACCTTTCTAGGGCCCGATAGTGCTTGAAGTTGGACTGCCAGTTGGCTGTAGGAATCCATTGCACCGTCTCGCCCATCCATCGGTGTGCTGGAAAGTGAAAATGGAACAACCTGCGTTTGCACCGGCGGTCGTGACTGGTGCGTGAGCAAACACGCCATGCAACACGACGCACAACGGTGCGGCCGCACATGCGGGAGGTACCGTTTCCACAGGGCATCGTCAACGACAAAATCGCGCCACCAGGTGTTGAGCATGCCCACAGAGTAGAGCAAGTCGGCCGGCCCGCCGAGGAGGGACATGACGTGGAAGGTGACTTCATCGGGCAGCGCCTCGAATGCGCCTCGCTGCGTGGCCCCAGACTGCTCTTCGGCTTCTTCGTCGGCTGCGACCACGGCACGTATGTCAATAAGCAGGCGCCGGAAGGGGGGGGGCGAAGAAATACTGAGAGAGAGATTTCGAAGGCCTGCTTCAATGTGTTGGCCGAAATTGTGGACAGCCTCGGGCGGAGGCAGCAAGGCACGCAATAGTCGGTCCGTCATCTCGCAGCTGGAAATGCACGCACAACAGCGCAGCGCCACTTGTTAAGATTTCGCAAACAGTTTCCGAAATGTGGCTCTGGTTGGCTGAATTTGGTTTTGGCCGCTTCTGCCGGTCGGAGCGACCAAATTCTGGTTTAAACGGGGAATGATCGGGCAATGCACGAAACACGCCCCGACACCTTCCCCATAAAAACGCCTGTGCGGCCTTTGGTTGTGTTATCAGCAAAGCAAGAACATCAGGCGTGGCTTACCGACACACGCACCACACTCGCTCAGCTAACTTCACCTTACCTACTACTACAACAACCATGAACCATCAGCAACAACAATCCGCTTCCCTATGCGTCAAGATGACTATTGTGGCCACCAATGAGAACCGCTTCATCGCGCTTCCGTCGCCGCCCGCATTCGCCCTCCTCGTTGAGAAGATCAGCACCGTGTTCGATCAGGTCAACAAGGCCGCCGTGCGCATCCACTACGTCGACGACGAGTCCGACAGAGTGGCCGTGTCCTCCTCCGACGAGCTCGCCTGCGCTCTCTCGCTCCTCCCCGCCGGACGCCAGCTCCGTCTCTTCGTCTCCACCACCTCTACCGAAGCTGGCCCCGCTGCTCCCCAGCAGGTGCCGACCCAAGAGCTGAGCGACCAAGTACCCGCCGAGCGCCCAGCCATCGGTGCGGCCTCCGATGTCGACGATCAGCCCAAGGCAATCCATGACGAGGTGGAGGACAACATCGGGACTGATGGCGAGGGGCAGCTCATCGACGTGCTAAAGCGCAAGCTCTCCCAGGAGGCGGACATCGTGGTCGGCGTCAATGTGTGCGAGAAGCAGTGCCTCCGCGTGCTCGCCAGGTTCGGAGGCGATCTGGACAAGACCGTCGCCGCACTCGCGGGCTTCCACGAGCGGAAGCAGCAGCGCCACGCCGCCGCTAACCACAACAAGACCAATAACGACCACCACCAGCAGCAGAAGAAGCGCCCGATCCCGCCCAGCTCGAGGCCCTCCACGAGCAGCGCCAGGCACGCCGGGCCGAGAGGCTCGCGGCAAGACTCGCCCGCCAGGAGCAGAAGAAGCAGCGCCAGGACAGCAACGACGACAGCGTCACCACCAAGAAGAGGATTGACGCGGCGAGCGTCGAGGCTCTGGTGGCCCTCATGGCCGACCTGGGACTGGCCGTGGGCACGGGCAGGTGCATCGGCGCCCTGCGCCGGGCCGATGGCGACGTCGACGCGGCCAAGGCCGACCTGGTGGACTGGTGCGCCAAGCGCCAGGAGCGCCAACGCAACAACGATAACAAGACGACCACGGCACCGATCCAAGGCCAAGAGACCGTCGAGGGCGACGACACCGACAAGAAGAAGCTGCTGACCCAGCTCGACCAGATGGGCTTCGGCGCGCCGACCGGCAACACGACAAGGCGGCCGAGAGGATCAAGAGGCGCAACGAGCGCCTGCTGAACAGGTTCAACGGCGATGTGGACCAGGTGGCCAGCCTGCTCAAGGCCAGGAGCGCCAAGGTAGAGGAGAGGACGGCCGCTCGCAAGGTCCACCAGGTCGAGCGTCCCCGCGGCAGGCGGTGCACTGCTCAAGCCACCGAGGAGAAGGCCAAGGCTTCGACCGCCTGCTGATCTCGCACCACAACGCACCAGCTGTCTGAGCCCAAACTCTGTTATCACTGATCTTTCCAATAACAAGAACCAACAGGCATCTTCTTTCAGAGCTACACTGTCGAACTTGCATGAAACATGAACACCACAATCAATTCTATGTGTAGGTGGTGCCGGTGGCCCTAGGGCGCCTGCCAGTAGAAGTGGAGGGTGACAGAGTTGGTGAGGCTGTAGGGAGTGTCGTCGAGCGCGAATGTCTTCTGCCAGCCTCGCTTCGTCCGCATCACTGCCGCCAGCGGGATCTCCATTGTGCCGTAGTCGTCCGGGTAGCGCGACGCGTCGTGAGCAGAGACATACAGTGTGGACTGGGCCGGATTGACGTCAAGGCTGGGCACGGCCAGAGACACAAAAGAGGTCAGCTTCGAAGATGACATGATACAGCACAGGCAAATAACTGGGGTGGGGGTGGATACAAGATGAACTTTTGGCAGAAGCCCAGCTCGCACTTTTTGCCGCGGGTGCCTGTTTTGCGCCACGCCGTGGGCTGGCGCCCGTCAGTGCCAACCCCCAGCCTGACGTAGCAATTCTCCGCCCTGAACACCCAACACGACCACCGTCAGTAACCACAGACAGACACACTCGACCACTGAAAGGGCGCGACAACAGGGAACGCAGATAAGTATACCTCCAGCCACACTGTGAGTCGATGTAGGCACTAAGCACTAATGTTGGAGAAAATGATTACATTAACAAACTGGCAGGAGCGTGGTGCAATCAAGAAAGAACGCTAAGGGCCGTACCGGTGACCTTGAGTGCGCCCACAGGCAGGTTGCGCAGCCCGGTCACCCACTCGGTCTGCCTGGCGCGCCACCTGGCGCGTCTCGCCTGCCGGCGCTGCTCCAGCACGCGCCTACGGTCCGGTCGTGCGACATGGCAGGGGATGACGGATGTGCTCGCGTCCCATGTGACCTCCCTCACGACGCCCACCGCCACGGTGCGGCCGAGATCGGCAAAGCAGAGACGGCCGAGGTTACCGCTCGAGGAGAACAAGTCGAGGCACAGTGGCTGCAAAGGAAACGTGAACGTGAGACTTAGGAAATGTGTATGTGCGCTGTGCGCTGTGCACCACATGTTCATGTGAGGTGTGTACTTGTTTGGGTGTCAGCTCCGCCATGCAGGCCATGCTCGAGCGTATGGATTGGGGGTCGTTTTCGATCAGCTGGCCCGTACGCTTGTCGATCTATGGAGGTAAGAGGCCCGAGAGCGTGAGCGAGTAGAGTTTAACAAAAACCCAACCATATTGCGATTACCTCATCCGGGATCGTACCGACGAGATGAGTTTGAAAGTGCATGGTACAGTGGCTGTGTGCACGCGCAGAGTCGGCGTGTAGCCTGATTTAAGCATGCCCGGGTGGGAGATGATGATCACCTGCGACTTGAAGGACTTGACCCGTCGAGGTTGGTCGCCGCCCTGTGGAACGATCACGCTGCCTCGCTCCACCAGGTCGACCAGCCGCGGCAGCTCAGCCTCTGCCGCGATCATGTTGGTAACCTCCTCCGCCTCCGCCTCCACTTCTGCCTCCGCCTCCGCCTCCGCCTCCTTCTTGCTTACGGTGTCCGAGGCCGCAGTGGTGCGCAGCCAGCGCAGCCTGACCGCCACGCTTTCGTGAGGTCCTAAGACCGCGCGGCGTGGCTGGTGATGAGATTCGATCGATTCAACGATGACGTCACCGTTGACGTTGCTCGGTTGGATGACCACCCGATCGCCCACGGAGAGCTGGCCGCTCACGATGCAGCCGCCCACGAGCACATCGCGGGTGTCGTGTCGATAGGAGCGCCGGTAGACCTTCTGCACCACCATGCGGGCGGGTCGACCGACGTGGTCCAGCCGCAGGCCCGGCGGGTCGAGAGCCACGGTCTCCAGGGCCTGCATGAGCGTGGGTCCCTTGTACCAGCTCATCGTTGTCGACTGCGTGAACACATTATCACCTGAGTTGGAATTAAAAGTTAGCAAATCCGGATGTGTGAGAACGAGTGCGGGCGTGAGACCTGTGATGGCAGATATGGGGATAAAGTGGGTCTGCGCGACGTTGAAGCCAACCCGCTTCAACGGGAGGGTGACGAGCTCCTTGGCGGCATCATAGCTCGACTGCGCGAAGTAGACGTTGGGATGGTCCATGTGCGTCACGCACACGATAACCTTCTTGACGCCCATCGTGTAGGCCAGCAGCGGATGGTTCTTGGTCTCATCGATTGGCGACAGCTGCCAATGCACGCCTGCTTAGCTCACTTTCGCGTACTTGTATGTGTCGGGTTCGGTGCGTACCTCTTTGGTCAGAGCGGAGATTACCAAGACGCCGCAGCGGCTGCCCACGATGCCCGCGTAGAAGTTCTTGACGCCCTTGCTCGCGCGGCCTGTCCGAAAGCCCGATGGTCAACTCACACACACACACACACACATCGGGTTTCGGACAGGCCGCGCGAGCAGGTGGAAGTACCTGGGACGTCGATGAGGGTGATGCGGCGCGAGTGGGACAGGCTCATCAAGCACTCCTGGGCGTCCAGGGTGGGCACGCCCACTTCGCCGTGCGGTTGCTGCTTGTCCTTGTGCAACGATGCCGAACCGGAGGAGGCCAGGTTGAGGCGGAGGAGCTCGAACAGGGCCGTTTTGCCCTGGCCCGAGGCGCCCATCAGCGCCACGGGTGTGGCAAGACCAGCACTCAGGTAGACTTCCTTCCACACACTCTGCCCGTTGGATTCCCTGGCCCGCTTCTCTGTAAACGCAGTCAACTGGTGGTTGTTGTTGTTTGGTCAGCGACTGTGTTGCCAAATGCAAGCGTGAGAAGGTGGCCTTTTCACCTGGGTGAGTTGGTCGGGAGGGAGAGATTGAGCCAAGGAAGCGAAGAAGGTGGTCTTCCAGAAGGCCTCTCCCTGCAGGGCATCGTGCCACGTCCTGCAAACCAGCCCGCAACGCGCCACCCCCGCCCCCACTCGCCGCATAACCTCCCACAGCAGTTCTGCACAAAAAGCAGCACTCGATTATTCTTGTGTACAACTTTTACGTGGCAGCCCCAAACCTGTGGCGCACCTGTAGGCAAGGCAGAGAAACCATCACTCGCTTCCATCTTCTTCCCCCCCAGGGCCGCAGTGGCTTCGAGTGGTTTATCTTTATTTTTCAAACCTGCATTTTTCTCGGTTCTTGCTTGAGAGAAATCGTGGGTCCCTGCTGGTGTGCAGACTCAACCAGGACGATGGAGAGACCACTTGCGCAGCTGTCGCTCTGCCCACGTACGGAGCACTTGGAGGGCAGCTTCGGCGGCACCAAGCCGGACATGAGGAGCCTGACCGAGGTGGGCGGGCTGGTGGCGCGGTTCGAGCAGTATGAGGCCGAGAACCGCGTGGAGCAGTGGGAGAGGCTCAACGTGCTGGTGCAGGAGAAGCTCGACGGGCTCGGCGTCTCCATCTTCTTCAAGGAACAGCATCAGCCCGTACTCAACTATCGGCCCTCCCCACACCGTACCCGCCCCCACGCCATTTCCTAAAATCTGCTGTGGAGTATTCAAGATGTTTTTTTTTCGTCAGCGCAGCGGCGGACAAGGAGGAGGATGAGGCCGACTTCAGGGACTTCCAGGAGTGGGTCTACGCACACGAGGAGGACCTGTTCCGGGTCCTCGGCAGCGACCGCAGCTTCGTGCTGCACGGGCAGTGGCTCGCCGGGCGCCAGCGCGGCGTCCACTACTCGCGCCTGCCGTCGCCCTTCGTCGCGGTCGACCTGATGGAGGCTGCCATGGCCCACCGCTTCCTGGCCTACGACCTGATGGTCGAAGTGCTCGGCAGCGTGGTGCCGGCCGCGCCCGTGCTGTGGCGCTCACGCCCCGCCGCGCCCTACGCCCAGCCCATCGCCACCACGCCCGGCGCCCACTTCAACGGGCTCCAGCAGCGCATCAAGCTCCCGCAGGCGCTCACCCAGACGTCGGCCTTTGGCGACGAGCCTGTCGAGGGCCTCTACCTGCGCATCGAGCGCGGCGGGGAGACCACTCACCACCGCTATAAGCTCATGCGCCAGACCGAGCGGCCTGATGACCGCAGGCGCGGACCCAAGACCAACGTCGTGGTTGCCAGCTAGCTGGCTCGCTCTGGGTCAAGGGACTGTTTGTCGCGCGCAAAGGCACAAAAGAAGAGAAAAGAAAAAAGAAAAGGGGAAAATAAATTAAATAACAAATCCCTCACGTGGAGCTGGGCTCAGTCGAAGACGCCTTGTTGCTTGAGGGCGGCGATGGCGTCGGCGGAAAGGCCGAGGAGCTCGCGAAGCACCTCGCTGTTGTGCTGGCCGAGCACTGGCGCAGGGCCGCGGGGGCAGGGGTTGGTGTGAGACATCTTTACCGGATTGCCCATCAGCTTCACCGTGCCGATCTCAGGTTGCTGCGAGGAGGTGGGCACGTTTCTCAGTCAATAAGCAACGACGCGATGTAAGGGCCAGAGAGCTGAATGAAAGTACCTCAACTTCGACGATCATCTTGCGGTCATGTGCGACGTGCTGATCGTTGGCCACGTCGGCCAACTCCTTGATCGGACAGGCTGGAATCTGTAAAGCGAGCTGGTCAGCTTCACAAGAGAAATGAGTGTCCCTTTAGTTTGGTGGGCATACTCGGTTCTCGAGGAGGAGGGTCACGATGTCTTCAATCTTGTGCTGCGATGTCCAGCCCTCCACGAGCACCTTGAGCTGTGCATGGTTCTCCAACCTGCACGCGGGCCACACCCTCCGTTTAGCGAGGGAAAGGTGCTGGTGGTGTGCGTGCAAGAGTGTGGTTACCGCTTGGGGTTGGTGTTGAACGTCGGATCGGCAATTTCGGTGGCCATGCCGAGAGCGCCAGCGGTGCACGCAACAAAGCGCTGCCAGATGGCATCGTTGGCGACGGCGATGATGACCCATCCATCGGCCGCCTTGAACGAATCGTAGGGCGCGATAAACTCATACCTGTGTGTTGTGGTGTGAGTCGGGTGTAGTTAACAGGAAGGCTGGCTGATGGTAAGTAAAGGCTGACCTGTTGCCGATCCGAGATGGTACGGCGTCCTCAATAAATATCTTCTGTACATGCTGGCTCATGGTCGTGAACAGCGAATCCACGAGGGCTACGTCCACCAGCTGCCCCTGGCCCGTGGTTCTTCGCACCTGTTTATGCCATAGCACGCATACAACAAACACACGCCTTCAACATTGGTGTATCGAGATTGGAGAAAAGGCGTGAGAACGGCGAAACGGTACCTGGAGCGCAGACAACACGCCGACGCAGGTGAACAGCGCGCAGGTCATATCGCCAATCGCGGTGCCTGCGCGTGTGGGCGGGGAGTCTGGCCAGCCGGTGATGCTCATCAGGCCGCTCATCGCCTGTCAGTGAGAGTGGGCGGTGTCGTGCCAGTCTGTTCAGGCCAGTAATGGTGGAACATGCGACTTGACGTTGAAAGTACCTGGCTGATGATGTCGTAGCCGGGCCGGCTCTTGTAGCGGCCCGTCTGGCCGAAGCCGGAGATGGCAGCATAGACGATGCGCGGGTTGACCTCCTTGAGCTTCTCGTAGCCGAGCCCGATGCGGTCCATAGTGCCCGGACTGAAGTTCTCTATCACCACATCACACTTGCGCACGAGGTCTAGGAACACCTTCTTGCCTTCCGCATTCTTTAGGTTGAGGGTAATGCTCCGCTTGCCCCTACAGCACGAACGCCGCATGCGGCTCGGTTCATTAAACATGTCCCAACTCAACGGTTGATGCAACACAAGTGGAACTACAGCACGCAACATAAGGTGAAGGCAGACGCAGCACTGACCTGTTGAGGTTGACGTAGTAGAGGCTCACGCCGTCCTTGAACGGCGGAAACTGCCGGGCGTCGTCGCCAATGCCGGGTAGTTCGAGTTTAATGACGTCCGCACCCATGTCCGCCAGCAGCATGGTGCAGAAGGGACCCGCGAGCACCCGCGTGAGGTCCAACACACGCACGCCCATGCGACCTCCACCCTCCACTCCGGCTTCGCTCTTTGCATCACCTGCGTGAGGGACATAATATATTTAATATTTCTACCAATACCACTACTTAATCTAAAATGATTACATAAAGAATGGGAACCTTGCTCTTGGCCCCCTGCCCTGCTGCGGAGTGCGCGCAGCTCCTCTTCAAGTTGCTTTCGGGCACTTCGCTCTTGCTCGAGTTCGCGCCGCAGTTGCGCCTCCACCGTGTTCTCCATGCTGCTAGCAGCGCAACAAATAAAGTCCCAAAGAGACCGAGGTCGGCCACATTATTTTTTGTATTTACAACTTTTCTTTTTTGATTTGAGTGGGATTCGAACCGGCAGTCCAGCTGAAGATACCTCGGGCGAAAAGCCCCGAGGATCTCGTTGAATGAGGTGTCATGCGCCGAGACGGGCGAAACTGAGGGGCTGATGAAGGCGTGATGATGGTGTTGGCGCCTACGGAATGCAAGCGAGTCGCGCGAAAACATGTGGGCATTCGGTGGAGGAGGAGTTCGCTTTGGCTGTACACAACACCAGCTCCTCCGTCCACTACGCCACAGGGCAACAACCGTAGAGAGGGCTCGAAGCTGCAAAGGCTCGTTGAACGCCGCCGTGAAGAAAGCAAGTAGGTGAGAGAGCCTCCCAAACCCAAGCCAGCACACCAACTACGATAGAAGCAACTATTTTACACACCACCCTCTTCAATCATCTTCTACCTCGAGCCTCTTCCTCTGCACAACGAAAAGTAAAAACAACACAGTCGCGACGATGAGCGCTGCTACACAAATCAGCATGGAAGAGGTAATGGTGGACCACAGAGGCCGAGCAGAGCCGGTAGATGGCATGGACGAGGAGAGTCTGTCGAACATCTCGAACAAACCACCTCAGATCTCAACAACGCCTTCGACTAGCCCCATACTTGACACGAGCGCCAACGCAACGAGCAGCAGCGACGAGGAAGAAGAAGACAGCAGCCACCGCCTCAACAACCGACAGCAGGACCGGCAGGCGGGCGATGAAGAGTCTTCGGAGGATGGCGACGAGGCCAGCTCGTTCATGAACGCCGACCTCCAGGCCTGCCGCGAAGGCGCACTCGCGGGCATGGTGCAGCGGGTCAAGCCCTACCACGAGCGCTACGTCGGGCAAATCCGGAGAGGCCGCTGGGAGGGCCGCGGTCGGCTCGTCTACAGCGCCGACGATCCGCGGGGCCGCATCGACTACGACGGCGAGTTCCGCGCCGGGCGGCGACACGGCAAGGGCAAGCTCCGCTGGCGCAACGGGTGCATCTACAAGGGCTCGTGGAAGGACGACATGATGCAGGGAAACGGAAGCATGAAGTGGCCCACTGGTACGGCTCTCTACATTGAAGTTTCGAGGTTGAAGATACCAAGGCTTACGCGGGCGTGTGCCACGTGCAGGGCAAGTGTACAAGGGCGGGTGGGAGAACAATCAGATGCACGGCGAGGGAGTGATGACGTGGCAGAATCCGCAGGTGCGCTACGTCGGTTCGTGGTGGAACGGCAAGCGATACGGTCAAGGCAGGATCACCTTCGCCGAGGACGATGAAGCCGAGCGAGTGCACTACGAAGGTACAATGCTGGCTCGCCTTGGTGCTCTCTGTTTCGCCTGGTGGCTCACCTCGATCTGCTCTACCACGTTAGGTTGGTGGCAAAACGACAGGAAGGAGGGATGGGGCGAGATGGTGTGGAAGTCGGGCTCGCACTACCAGGGCGAGTGGAAATCGGGGCTGAGGGACGGCTTCGGTGTCCACACCTTCCACAACGCTGACAAGTACCCTATTCCTTTCCTCTCTGCCCAACGAAGCTCTTCTAACTTCTGATCTCCTCCCGCAGATACGTGGGCCAGTGGACCAAGGACAAGCGCACGGGCAAGGGGGAGCTGCAGTTCGCCAACGGAGACAAGTTCGAAGGCGAGTGGGTGGAGGACAAGAAGCACGGCAAAGGCGTCTACACCTACGCTCACGGCCGCATCCGCCACGAGACCTGGCAACAAGGGTGCCGAGTGGAGGACCCTAAGCAAAAGTACATCTCCTCGCTCGCAGGACACACGCACATATCAGCGCTAACGGATGGCCTCCTACCACAACTAGGTTCATGGTACAATCGTTGGTCGTGTTGTGCGTCGAGTACGTGGGGAGCAACCCGGAGCTGCTACTAGCGGACAAGAGAGTACGTCAGTCGCTATTCCTGACACGCTTACTCATCTTGCTTACTGATTGAACCAATCTCTCTTCATCGGCGATACAGTCTATGTCCTCGAAAAGGAGGACTAGCGTGAGTGGCATGAGCAAGATGGTGATGGATCTGGTGACGAGCCACGGAGCTCGCTCCAAGAGCACGGAGAAGGACGCCTCTGAACGCGACGCCGGAGACTGGGAGCCGAGCAGCGATGCGCTCGCCCAGCTCGACGACAACACCACGTCTGGAAGCGCCAGCGGCAAGGAGCGCAGAGCTTCTTTCCAAGCCAGGCAGCTGGTGGACCCGGGCTATGCCCTGGAGAGTGCCGCCACAAGATCTATGCTGTCTTCTTCATCTTCATCGTCGACCAGTACGTCTGCGTCGAAGCGAAGGCGGAGCAAGAGAGGGTCGACCCCCGGCCCGGTGCTGCCCCAAGAGATGATGGTGCTCGTGGAGGCCTACATGCAGAGGATCGCGCAGAGGAAGCGGGTCGAGCAGGAGTCGCAGAACCAGAAAAAGGACCGGGAGAGGGCTGGCAGACGGCGGATCGCCAGCTGCCTCGTCCAGTGAAGATCGCGTTTAGAGTTGTAGATAAGACTTGTCGGCACAGACGGAAAGAAGGAAGAACTCGATTGGCTATCTTATTTGTCGACAATTTATTTTGTGGAATTCAAAGATTGCAGTGACGGTTGGGGAGTTTGGGTTGGCTGTGCGACGGGAAAGGAGAAGTGTACTGTCCGTTTGGGCTCGAGCGGCGGTTTTAATGGACATAGCCTAGCCAACCGCATGTCGAAGATCGCAGATGTTACTTAGCGGGCAAGAGTGTTGTCCCTGTAGCCTGTACAACCGAGTTCATCACCACGCCTTTGGCGGTGGACTTCCCGCCTCGCGGATGAGCCGTATGGGCGCTCATACTGCACTGTGGTCCCTATACTACCTCACATATGCGCCCGGCTCACTAACTCCTGCCCACACCAGATAAAAGGGACGCGAAGGTGTGCTGTTTGCTCATCCACCCAGCGATCCACACCACCTCATTCACCAACCTCGCTTCTTTTCCCTCAGCCGAAAGGAAGTCGACTCACTATCAACAGACTCCCCACTCCAACCCACCACATCACCATGGCCTCAATCTTCTCTCGTTACGGTGCTCTCTGTGCGCTTCTTCTCGTGGTTCTCGCCGCCTTCTTGGGAGTGGCGGTGGCCAGCGACAGCTGCGAGTGCCCGTGCCCCTGCGACTCGGACAGTGGCAGCTTCGCGGTAACGTGGTACAGCGGCTCGAGCGTGTGGTGGCTGGCGGTCACCATCCCGGGCTCCAGTTCGGTCAAGATCGACTGCGGCAACGGCCAGGGCTTCGTCAACATGACCCCCGGCTGGGCATCCAACATGTGGACCTTCTCCTCGGGCAACGGCCAGGCGTGCAAATCCAGCGTCCAGTTCATCGTCAATGGCGGCTCCGCCCAGTCTGCCACCGCGCCTTTCTAGAGAGAAAGCTTCGCTCAGTTTGACTTGTCCTACAACTCGGATCTTGTAAATGCAACTCCAACTCCTTTGTACAAAACGATTTCCCAGTCCCATCGGTCTTGAAAGGTGGTGGTCCTGTTGGCCAGACCAAAAACCGGACAGAGAGGGGAATGGGCGGTTGGATACGGCCATACTGCGCAGAAAGCACCGCTTCCCATCCGAACAGCGAAGTTAAGCTGCGCCAGGCGGTGTTAGTACTGGGGTGGGCGACCACCCGGGAATCCACCGTGCCGTATCCTTTTTTCCCTCTTTGCCCCCCCCACTGCTCTCCCCCATATCCCTTAGAAAAGAGCCTCGTGTATTTATTTTTATTTTGCCCCACAGAACGAAAACGCCACAGAAGGTGAAGGTGCACGCGAGTGGAAGCAAGAGGCGAGGGAGCAGCGATGGAGAGGAAGACCAGCAACAGTGGGGTGGTGGCTGCCTTGGAGACCCCAACGGGCCTCCGCTTCCCCTCCATCGAAGCTTCGCGCCCTGCTGCCGCCCCTGTCTTGGAGGAATATTTTGGTACCTATTTTTTGTTTATATATTATTTTTTTTTTGGAGGCGTGTTGCACCCTCGCTTTCGTTCTCCCCCCCCCCTCCCTCAGCGAGCAGGAACTCCTGGCCCAGCGTTTTCTTCGTCGGGGTTGTGTTGTGTTGTTTTGCTCCCCTTGCCGCATTGGTGGTTGCTTGTCCGATTGTTAAATGTTATTTTTAATGTTTTCTGCAGTACGCCCCTTGTAAGTCTGACCCACCTGACTACTCCAAACCCAGGATTCATGTACATTGGAGAGATGCTGAAGGAGTGGCGGATGAACAAGGAAGAGGTGACCCTGGAGCGACTGCTTGCGGAGGCCAGCAACGATCACTTGCTCTGGGAAGCCGAGCGGGCCAACCAGGAGCTCATCCTGTTGTACGCCTCCTCCCGCACCACCGCAATGCAACGTTGAAGTGTACAACATTTACCGTTTGCTCGACGATGCGTCATTTAGTGTCAACCGCGAGCGAGTGGTGGACAAGATATTGCAGTACGCTTTCAGCAGCAACGAAGCCAGCCCGCAGAGCTCGCCCTCAAAGATGGATGCGCAGCAGCCACCACAGATCACCCCGTAGTGCGCCTTCTTGAACTTCTCACTTCTTGAAGCCCATGAAGCTGACGTGCTCATTACTGCGCAGTGCGGAGATCAAGAGTTTTTGTCAGGACTTGTTATCATTGGAGGTGAGGCAGGGTGGCGTCTTTGACGATAGCGGCCAGACCAGGATCATCCACCACCTCTTCTCCTCGTTCTTCACACCCGAGGACGAAGACGGCAAACCGCGATTCCGAGCGCCACCACCGGAAGCCGGTACCCTCCTCCAGGTGCTGGCCTACCGACCACAATCCCGCGAGAAAGTACGCGCGTGGCCACCATTCTCTACATTGTCCATCTCCTTCGCCTGTTCGCGCTCACATCATTTACTGCGCCTTACCAGGTCCTCTCGTATCTTGTCGATACGCCCGCCGAGATGTTTGTGGACTTCTTTTTGGTGCATTTGGACCATCTGATCGTATCGGATGTGCTCACGACCCTGGTGAGCCTGCTCAGCGAGGCCCCGCCCTCGGCCTGGCTGCCCACCGGCGGTCCGCGAGTGCTTCAGCTCCCGCTGTCAGAGTTTGACGTCAGCCCGAGCCTGGTCGACGCCTTCAACGAGGTACCACACTGTGCCACTTCAACACACGCGCTCGAGCTTTGTCCTGTCCTGTCGGTGGCTGACCGGCTTCTCGTCCGCGCGCAGTGGCTGATTGCCGGCAGTTTTGTAGATCGGGTGATTGCCACCATTCTCCGACCCGATGACGGTGATGGTGGTGGCGATAAGCGACGGCGAGCCGAGATCACCGAGAAGGTAGTCCTGGTCGGGGCGCTGCCAGTGCGCAGATAGTGAATGACTGACATTCGCGTCGGCTCTGGCGCAGGCGTTCGGGTTGCTGGGGCAAGTGGTGATGATCGCGCGGTCGCACCTCCACATTGGTCAAGACCCACCACCCATCTTCTACGAGCTCATGGAGGAGACCCGACTCAGGCCCTTCCTCCGCTCAATTTTGAAACACCAGGTACGCCCCTCCCCAGTCAAATCCACAAATGCCGCCACACAATATACCAATCGGCCGCTGAGCGCTTTTGGGGGGGGGGGCAACTAGAACGACAAGGTGGTGGGCGAGGGGCTGGCGCTTCTCTCGTCGCTGTTGGTATGCGACCGAATGAGCGAGGCCGAGAAGAGGAAGAGGGCGGAAGAAGAGGCGGAGGAGTCCGCGAGCAACAACCAACAACCTGAAGCGGCTTCGTCGACGGCTTCGTCTTCTTCCGCACCATCATCAGAGATGCAGGCCGCAGCGCAGAGTTATGGGGACCTGCTGCCGCGACTCGACGGCAAGGCCGATGACGGTTCGGCATTCGACCGAAGAAGCGGAAAGAGCGAAAGCGATCAGGTGAAGATGCCGGAATCGCATTTCAACGAGGTCCTCGTGGAGGTGCTCAGAGACAGCCTTCCGACCCTGGTGATGCGATTAAGGCCGGAGGAAGCGTTGGAGGCGGGTAAGCCCGACTGGCAACGCGAGACCGACGCCAAGCAGGCGGAAAGCGATGCGATGGTCGAGCAACGGAGGCTCGAGAGAAAAGGTGGAGGCGAAGCGACGATAACAACAACGACAACGACAACCAACGGAAAGCAGCAAGTTCAGACACTACAGAGGAAACGACCGTTTGGATTGCTGCGCTTGAAGATCGCCGAGTCGATGCGCGCGCTGGTGTTGCACTTCACCGTTCCCTCAGCGGACGACACACTCGCCGAGGCGTTCTTCACACTGCTCAAGTCGTTGAAATTCCCTACTCTCCTCGTGGTACCTCCCCTCTCTTTATGTTGACACGACACAACACGGCCGCACATTGACACGCACCACCGCATACGCAACTGCACGACCCGGGTGTAGGCCACGACATTGAGACTGACCTAATTGAATCTCGGCATTGACCATCACAGGAGCTGCTGATAGACAATCCTCGCATGGACATTCTTCACACAGTCATCATCCAAACGCTCAAGCCCATTTTGGTGAAGGACAAACCGCGTTCCTTCCTACACGCCGTACGTTGGCCTGCCTGCCTGCCCCGACGCGCGCACTTCTTTGCTCTCTCTCTCTCTTCGTCGCTGACTTTTTCTTCTGGTGTTGCACATCATGATGGAGCAGGTGGTCAAGGAGGGCTCGTTCATTCGTCAGATTGTTCAGATCCTGCCTCTGTGCGGACTCACGAGGTTCGCTCCCAAGTCTTCTCTCTCGTCGAGCACTCTCGGAGCTAAACGCTTCAACCCACGCTGCTGCTGTCGCAATAGGAGTTCACCAGATGGGGAGTTGACTGCGTTGCGACCACCGGTGAAGGAGATCATGAACAGCCTCACGCGGACCTCGCTCAGCGATCCCGACCTGACCTCGCTCCTCGACGGTACTGATCTCTCCCGCCGGCCTAACGCGGCTCTGCGAGATGCTTACTTTTTTCTTCGGTTGGATGTGGTCAGATCAAGGCTGGTGGGATCAGGCCGTGAGCACCAACTCCGCCGGACCCGCGCCTCCCGCTTCGGCGATGGTCCCCTTCGCTTAGCTACGGTCTTGTCAATGAAGCCTTCGCCATGACTGGTGCCTGCCTCACCTTTATTTTCTTATTATTCTGATTATTTATTGGACAGATATTTCAGCATAGGGGGGGGGGTAGTGGAGATGACCGACGGTGTTGGGATGTATTTATTTATTTTCTAATTTTCTTTTTAATCCAGTTTTGGCTGGTCCTTCCAAAAATGGCAAGTCTTATCCAAATACGAAAGTCCAGAAACACACCAAAACAAAGAATCAAGAGAGGGAAAGGAGGTGTGTGGAAGAAGAAGAGGAGGAAGGGGCGACAGCAGTGATCTCTCGTTTCTCTTTCTCTTTTCTCTCAGTTCTTTCAACTCTCTCTCCTCAGCTGGCTGAAAGAGAGAAAACCGACTGAGTCAAGCGACGGTCGATCAATTAATCGATCAAACAGAGCAGAGAAAGAGACCACATCTACGATTACACATCATCATGGCGCTGGTGGTGCGTGTTCACTTCCTCAAGGCCCCCGCGCGCAACGTGGTGGTAAAGGAGCCGCGGGAGAAGAAGATGCGAGCAATCAAGGACGAGGTCTTCAGTTCGCTCTCCCGCCAATTCAAGGGCGAACCCAGCGACTACGAAGGCTTCCTCCACCACCCGCGACGCGTGCTCGCCGGGGTGGTCGGTGACGACCCCGCCGAGGACACCACTGCCTCGACACGCGATGAATCGTCGCCGCGCCCCCCGGCCTCCAGCGCGGTGGAGATGTGCTGGCTTCGCGACGATGAGTATCTTCCCCTCCCCGACGGCGTGAGGCCCAAGGTACTCCCCCCGCCCCGGTCAATCATCAGCCTTGCGCATATCTTGGCGAGGCCGTGGCACGCCGTTTTATTCATTTCTTTTTTCGTGCGCACAGTCAACGCACGCACTCACAACACACGCGCAACACAACACAGTGTGATATAGAGCTGCGTAGGAAGCATCAGGTGGTGAAGATCAAGTGCTACGATAAGGCCAAGACGGTCCTGATTGACTTCACCGTCCCGCTGCGCGACTGGCTGCCCCTCGTGCGCAAGAAGTTTGACCGCGAAGACGACACCGAACTCACTCTTTACCTGTCCGGCGAGTCTCAACGTACGTTGTTGCTGCCCATTAGCCATCATCATCATCACCTTGTCTCACCTTACGGTCACCTTCATCTGTTGTCGAAGCGCTGGACGTGGGCCAGCCACTCTTTGATCAGGAGCAGCTGAGCCTCGGCATCGTGCTGTGCCTTCGACGGCCCGACGACCCCGTGGACAAGCCCACGCCCTGGTTCAAGCACCGCGCTGCCCTGTCTCTCACCCGCGGCGGCCTCCTACGCGACACAGCCTCAAATGGTAGCGGTTGCTTGGCGCACGCACACGCACCACTGCACACACCAACGTACCACCGGTCATGCTGACACTGTCTCTGGTGGGTGATGCGGTCAACCCTACAGCCAAGGGATCCACACTCAATTCCCCGTCAGCGATGTCCGCCGCGACCAGCGAGGATGTAGCCGGTGCACTCGTGCGTCTTCTTCGTCTTCTTCTTCTATTTCTTCTTCGTCTTCATCCATCACCTTGCACTTCCAGAGCTCCAACAGATACTGACAGTCTCCTCCGCCCGATATTAACGCAGGCATCGCCCAATTCGGCGATGCGAGGCATCATCTACATATACGCCAACAACAAGCACAAATGGGAGAAGCGATGGTTCGTGCTGGACAACGACCTTCTGTTCTACTACAAGAATGCCTCGGTACAGCCAGCCAACCTACTTACTTGTGGCGGTCAGCAGTGATTGACCACATACGGTGTGTGATATGTGTAATGCAGGAGGGGAAGGCGACGGATGTGATCGATGTACAACAGTATCTGCTGAAGGAGGGGGAGGTGAAGAAGAAATCCTACGCGTGGGACCTCATCCTCTCGCCCAACGCCAAGCTCGAGAACGTCGATGGCAAGAAGCTGCAGAACTACTCCCTCAAGTCCGAATCGGCCTTGGTACCACATAGTCACCATACACTGACACACACCACGCACGCACGCACGCACGCACGCACACGCCCTCACCACTTTCTCTCTCTCTTTCGTTGAACAGGAGAGGAAAGAGTGGATGGCGGCCCTGCAGAAGATCATGGATCGAAGCGGAAGCAAGAACGGGCCGATGCCCTCGCCTCCGCCACTGCTGACCGCCACCTCGGCCAATCTCTCTGTAAAGAAGATCAAGAAAGGTAGTGCCGCCTGCGGTTTCGCGTTGTAGATGAGTGTACTCACCGCCCGAGCGCGCCTCCAGATCGAGCAGAGATGCTCTTCGGGCGGCAGCTGGAGCTCGCTGTACACAACCCCGATGGCTCACAGATCCCTGCCCTCATCGTCAAGTGCATCAACTACATCGACAACGAACGAAGTACGTGTGTCCTGTTGGAGCACGCCCACGCACGCACGCACGCACGCACGCACGCACGCACGCACGAACGCACGCACGCACGCACGCACTGATGTCTCATTGGCTCGCAGTATTGGCGGTGGAGGGCATCTTCAGGCTCTCGGGTAGTGCGGTGCTGATGGACAAATACGCCGCCCGGTTCGACAAGGGCGAGGATGTGGACCTCACGCCGGAGCAGGACCCGCACACGGTGACCGGCCTGCTCAAGTACTACTTCCGAGAGCTGCCCGAGCCCCTCATGACCATCCCACTCTACGAACACTTCATATCCGCCTCAGGTGCGTCTTCATCATCACGCTGCCATTGTCATCGCCTCGCCTTTCGTTGAGCGGACGCGACAACTCACCTTTTGCGCGGAGAGCAGGCACAACCGACAAAGCGCTGCAACTGCGCTTCTTGCGCCATCTCGTCAATCGACTACCGCCCATCAACAAATCGCTTCTCCAGTACGGCCCAAGAGACCCTCGATGATGATCATGGTGGTGGTGGTGGTGATGATTGTTGTTAACCCTCTCGACTTTGGCTTTTGTGTGTCTACAGCTATCTCTTCTCCTTCCTCGTTCGTGTGGCCGCCAACGCCGACAAGAACAAGATGGCGCCCACAGTGATCGCCACAGTGTTTGCCCCCGCCCTGCTCAGGTTCGTGCGCAATAGAATACAGCCGCTCTCGCTTCTCACTTTCCACATCGTGGTGGCACCACCAGTCGTTGTATTGACCCTCTCTCCCCCCTCTCTCTCTCAAGGCGTGCTGACCAGGACCCGATCGCAGCGATGGCCGACACGCCAAAGATCAACTCCATCGTGGTGGTCCTCATCCAGGAATTCGAATACGTGTTCAGGGTACGCTGTTGCCTTTATTTAGGTTTTCTATTTAATTACATAGAATTAACACTAGTGTTAATTATTGTGGCCACCCGTTCAGGGCAAGGACATCGACCCGCGATTGACGGCCAAGGGAATGGGCGCTGTGTGCTGTCGGGCGCAACACGACTACGAGGCCAAGTCGCCCGACGAGCTCGCCTTTGCGCAGGGCGCGGTGATGAGGATAGTGGTGGAGGACCACACCTGGCCCTACTGTGAATCCAAGTCAGGTAACTGCAACGACACGACACACGACACACGACACACGCACACACGACACACGACACACGACACACGACACACACACACGCACACACGCACACACAACACACACTCATCGCACCCCTCCGCCCCCCCCCAACAATGCAGGGAGCTTCGGGCGGATACCTTCGTCGTACGTGCAGGTCATGACCATGGAGCAGAGCCAGGAATACGCCGAACAGCAGCAGATCAAGCAGAGGACGAAAAAGGCGATCGAGGTCCGACCTACAAGCTGCTGCGCCGCTGCCGCCAGCTCTCAGCCCAACCACCACTAATGGACTTGTTTCCGCTGCGTAAAAACAGGAAAACGAAGAACAGCAGAGGGAGCTCAAAGCGCTGAGCGAGGAGAACGAGGAGCTGGCGAAGGAGGTGGAAGAGCTCCTGCTCAGGAAAAAGTAACCACACACACACAACCGCACACTCACCACCGCACACCGCACAGTGCTGATGCTTGGTGATGTACAGGAAAGTGGAGTTGGACTTCTACATGCTGCGGGAGGTGCTGCTCCCGGTGATGGAGAAGAGCATCGTGATCCGGGACGAGGAACAGAGCCGCGACAGGACGGGGAGGAGGCCCCAACGGAAGCTGCCCGACGGCGACGCCGACAAGAAGGAGGAGGTCCTCCTCGCCGACTTCCCCAAATACCTCGACAAATTCTTCATGGTACGCCCACACCCCTGTACGCGACACAAGCGACACACGTAGAGTGCGTGGGCTCACCGAATGAGATGAGTAGGAGAGCGAGAACCATCGTAGGGCGCTGGACGCGGTGGGCACGGCGAAGGACCAGTTCCTGACGTCGCTCGAGATGTTCCTGGGCGCCATCCCCGTGGCACGCCACAAGAAGGAGAAGTACCAGAAGCTCCGCCAGTCGGCCCAGGTCATCAAGGACAAGACCAAGGCCGAGGCCTTCTGTCGGTACAGCACTGCTTTTGAACCTATCTTCGCCAACTCCGCAAGCTCGGGCGTGCACTCATCACGTGTCGTGTCGTGTGTGCGTCGTGTTGCGGGCCGTGTGTAGAATGGAGCTGAGCGAGCTCAAGGACGACATCATCAGGGATCTGACTGAGCTGCAAGGTGCGCTCAAGTTCTCCGTCAAGAGGTCGTGGACCGAGGAGGAAGAGGAGCAGTACTCCCCACTTGCCAAGGTGCCTACCAACCATGTGACCTGAACACGAACAGTGGCTGACCTCAGCTGAATTGCGTGCGTCTGCAGACCCTGATGCCCCCGATGCTGCAGCAGCAGCAACCGCTGTCGGCCAGAGGAAGCAGCAGGTCCAGTTCCAGTTCGAGCAGCAGCAACAGGGATGGACCCCTGCTCTCCGCCCGCGGCAGCCGAGAAAGGCCCTGAGCGTGGCGCGCCACCCGGCATGAGCCCAACCTCACCGCTCCAGCGTGCGTGTAGAACGAGAACATAAGATGTTACGCCCAAGTTGCTATTTCCAAGGCTTCATGCTACATCGGTGAGGCCTTCGCCCACATGCCGGTCGAAGAAGGCCAGAACGTCTTCTGCTGACGGACGCTTGTCCAGATTGGCGTGCCAGCACTTGCGCATCAGCTTGCTGAAGCTGGCAGGAGCGTCGCTGGGAATCTGTGGGCGTTTGCCCTCGAGCACCTCCAGCGACACGCCCATGAAGTTGCGCCCGGCGAAGGGTTCCTTGCGCGTGAGCACCTGCCACATGGTGATGCCAAACGAGTAGACGTCCGCCCGCTCGTCGTACTTCTCCCCGCGGATCACCTCCGGCGCAGTCCAGCAGGGAGTGCCGCATCGGGTCATCGTCGCATTCTCCTCCTTGATTCGCGCGAACCCAAAGTCGGCCACCTTGACATTCCAGTTTTCGTCCACCTGGCGTCAACGATGCACGTTTAGAGTAGGGTTAGGTCAGAACACCACCAGGTGGCCTACGACTCACGCATGTCAATGAGGGAGCGAGAGTGGTACCAGAAGGTTGGATGGCTTGAGGTCACGATGCACGATGATGGGCTTGAGCGAATGGAGGTAGTTGAGGCCCAGAGCGGCCGACCGGAGCATCCGCAGCTTTTGGTCCCACGTGAGCTTGATGGAGTGGTCGGCCAGGATGTCCTTCAGGCTGCCCTGCTTCACGAACTCCGTGACAATGCAGAGGTTGGGCTTTTTCACGCAGGCACCTGTGCCCCCCCCCACCACACGCAGCAGAGTTCTTACGTCAGTGCCGAGTTGCCCTAAAGCCGGCCAAGGTGGTGATAGTATGACTCGCATACCGATGAAGAGGACGATGTTGGGGTGGTGGAGCTCGGAGAGGAAGGCCATCTCGGCGCGGAACTCGAGCATGCGGCGCTCATCGAGCTTCTGCTTGATGAACCGCTTGACGGCCACCTCGACGCCCTTCCACTTGCCCTTGTAGACCACACCGTAGGAGCCGAGGCCCACCTGCTTGCCCACCTGAATCTCGCCGTAGTCGATGATCCACCGGCAGAGGTTGGCCGACGTGAGGAAGTTGTCCTCCTTGAACTGCATGCCTTCGCCCACCGTCGTCTGCATGTCGCCGCCATCGCGGTCGCTGCCATGCGCCGAGCCGGCGCTCCTGGTGCTGTCGTTGTCGTCCTGCCTGTCGTACGACCGCTTGGTGTGGCCCTCCGAGTCGCTCGACCGTTCGCCCAGCCCGTTCAAGTCACCTCCGTGCGCCACACCGCCGAAGAACCGCGCCTCGAGTCCTGGGACCTTGAGCTCAAACAGCTTCGAGCCTAGCCATCGCAACCACCAGGCACCACCACACAGCCTTAGCTACGAGGCCCCACCACCAAACAATAAAATGATGGGTTACGAAGAGAGTGAGTGAGTGAGAGAGATCGCACCGTTGGGGGAATCGGGCATCTCGAACCGGCCCAAGCTTCTGAGCCGGTTCTTGTGCGGGTGCCCACCAGCGGCGGTGGCCTTGATCTTCTCATAGACGGCTTGGCTGAGCACGATCTGACCACCGTGCGTCAGCGCGGTGATGCGAGCTGTGGCGTTGACCACGGGTCCGATGTACTCCACTCGCCGCGTTATCGGATCGCGCACCGCCCTGGGCGTTCCCACGTGCACGCCCATCCGCACGCGCAGTCCCTTGAACAGGACCCTAGTGGAGGGAAAGGGGGGAGAGATAAGCCGCTAGAGCCGCGGTGGTGGTGTGATGTGGGGGAGGCGTGTGGCCACGAACCTGTCGTCGGTGTCGCCCCACTCTTCGGCAGCACCGGGATGGTCCAGCAGTGCCTCCGGCCAGGCCACGGCCAGTAGTGCGCGCTGCACCTCGGAGCACCACGCCAGAGCCTCGCTGGGGGTGTGGAAGGCCATGCAGAAGGAGCCCTCGCCCGAGTTGCGGTCGCGGAGGAAGACCACCTCGTAGCCGCGATGCTGGGCCAATGACGCGCGCAGCGCAGCGTTGTGCAGAAGCGTGGCGTCGCGCATGGCCGCAGCGTTGAACTCCCACAGCGACGCGGCGCGCGTGATGTCCGTGAACACGATCGTCACTTCGCCTTGCGGGGCTTTCACCGGACCGGCATCGCCTGCCGCCCCAGGCGCCTCCTTCGCCGACGAGTGCGAAGACGACGAACCGGTGGACCCGGAGGTGTTGGACGGCATGCCCCACGAGCTATAGAGGCTGCGCCTCACGCCGGCCGCGCCGCCGTTGTTGCCCGAGTGCCCCGATGAGGAGGAGTGGGACGACGTCTTGGAGGTGAACGACGTCGCGCCGCCCAGGGCCGACGAAGAGTCGCCGTGCATGGACGACAGGCGCGTCATGATCTCGAGGAACGTCGGGCGTATGGTGGGGTCCTGGTGCCAGCAGCTGGTGAGCAGCTCTTCGTACTCGACCGGGGACGTGCCGTCCGACTCGGGGATTGTAGGCCGGATGCCATCCCGGATCACCGCCACCGCCACCGCGGCAGGGCTCATGCCAAAATAGGCTGTTCTCGGGTGAGGAGCTCCCACAGAATAATGCCTGCGCGCGCGCGGAAGACGACCAAGCAAGGTTTGAGATGTCGCGACGAGTTTGTGGTGGGAGGGAAGGGGATGTAAATACCGAAGCTGTAGACGTCGGCCAGGATAAGATCGACATCGGACGACTCGTTGAGGACCTCCGGGGCAGTCCAGTGCACGCTGCCAGCCACCTCCTTCCCGCCTCCCTTGGACACATCCTCCCGGAACTTGGTCAGGCCAAAGTCACTCACCTGCGCCCATCAAAGTTGGTCGGTTGGTTGGTTGGTGTTACAGATGAGGCCAACCGGTGGGCAGCTGAACCCGTATGAGAGGCCCAACCTACGGGACAGGTACAGTACCTTGACGTTCCACTTGTTGTCGAGCAGCAGATTGAGCGACTTGAGATCGCGATGCACAATGCCTGTCGCACATGAATTGTAGCAGTTGAGATGCGCCGTGAGCGGGTGGCTTCTTCTTCATGTATGCATGCAGCTCGGCAGTGAGAATCGTACCAGAAGAGTGGAGGAAGTGCATGCCCTTGGAGGCTTGGTAGGCCATTTTGGCTTTGAGCGCAAAGGGCAATTCTGGCACCAGCTCGTTGTGCAGCAACTGCACTCGAGAAGAGGAGCTCGCATGAGATCGCACGCAGAAATTGCTTGCACCAGCTGGGGAGCCGTACATCGTAGAGTGAGCCGAGGGTCATGAACTCCATGACGATGCACATCTTGGGCGCCTTGGTCGATGCCGCCATGAACAACACCACATTGGGGTGCCGCAGCGCCGTCATCACTCGCACCTGTATGACAATGATGAGGTGCTACGGGTGAGCGCAACCCAAGAGGAGCTGTAGTTGCCGAAGGGGGGTTGGGGGGGGGGTTGAGACCTCATCCTTGAAGCTCCTTTCGAGGTCCTTCGTGATCTTGTCCGACGTCAGCATCTTGACAGCAACTTCGGTGCCTTTCCACGTTGCGCGGTGCACCGAACCGAAGCCGCCAGTGCCCAGGTGTTCGCCGAGTTCGAGCTCGTCGAAATCGATCTCCCAGTCGCTGGTCTGATTGCTCTGGCGGCGAATGATGACGACCAGCACGATGATGAACGCCAGCAGCAACAGAAAGACGCAGGCGGCAACTGGAATGACTATGCCTGTTGCGCGTGTGCCAAACGATGGGACACAAAGCCACATAAACAAGAGTTCAGTCTTATAGTTTGTCGTGATCGCACTGACAGACATGGTCGAGAGACACCGCACACACCACACAAATGGTCGAGCTAGCGTACCGAGAATGATGGGAAGCGCGACATCTGCAGACGAGGTCGTGACTTCTTCGCAATACTGCCCTTCTCGGCCGTCGGGGCAAACGCAGCTGTGGGTATCGCTGCTACACGTGCCAACGTCGGAGCACAAGGCGCCATTGGATATGCAGCTGGCGAGGGTGCTCACCGGTTCGTCATTGCACGTGAACCCTTTGAGTTCGTTGAGCAGGATACTGTACAACGGCTTCACCGAAGAGGCAACGACGAATCCCTGCCTGAATGGAGGTTAGCGCCGGTGTGGCTCTACAGTTGAACACGGAATTACCATGCAAGCGGGGGAGGGGGCAGCACCTTTCGGCAATTCGGAGAGCCTCAGTGTTGGTCTGGGACCAGTAGGTGAAGTTGGCCAGAGCAGCTGCCTTCCTGCAGTCCTGCATGGTGCGCTTCCTGTAGATGATAGAACCGAAAACGGCAACAGGCCAGCTCTCTTTCCCTGGCCCTGTAGTCCGGGAAGGTTGTTCACCCCGGAGTGAGCCCCCACACTCGCGGTGGTGATATGCTCCAGCACGTCGAGGAGGGCGGACAGACGTACTCAGCAACAGCGAGGTGAACGTGGGATTGACCACGGAGCTCATATAGTCGCTCACAGCGCTTTGGAGCGATGTCGCGGAGACTCGGACCGGATTGCCTGCCGGGTTGATGAGCGAAGCCGCAGCTATGCCCTGAGTCTTGTGTGGCACACACAATGCGACCGGACGTATGTGTGAGCGCCGGCGCCCAACCATAAGAGGAGGAATAGAACGAGGCCTTTGTACGTACAGAGAACACTTCATAGGCCTGCCAAAAGCCAAACGTGTCGGCGTTGGCGGCCATCACAGCTGCGAACGCCGTGAGCGAGTTGGTTTGCACTGACCGGTTGGTGGCCTCGACCGGGTAGGTGACCAACGGGCCAGCACCCACCTGTAAAGCGTCGGATCGGGGTATGGGATTACTATGCCATAGAGCCAGAATCAGGAGCCTCATGTGGAACAGCAGTCGAACGTAGCGTACCTGCGTAGCAAATCTGGGCACAGAGGCGTTGAGCGCTGTCGTGGTTAGCTCGTTCATGGCATTACCGATTGTCACGGTAATCACGAAAATGGGTCGCTCCGGCAACGCTGCAGCTACAGTGGGAGAATTGAGCGCTTTTATCTGTGCGTCGTTCCACATTGTGATCTCGCTGTGGGTTGGGGTTAGGGTCATGGCTTTCAACTATTAATTGCAGGAAGGAAGAAAAGACAAAGAGAGGAGGGGCAACCTGAGGTAGATGGCTGCGATGGTGTCCATATCGAGTACCAGAGTGAGCCCAGCCTCAATCAGCTCCTGAACGTTGTACGCTGCAAGAGGGAGAGAGGAGCGAACGTGAGCTTAGCGTAAGGCCATCAGAATGTCGAGGACGCTGACGTACCGGGCGTTGCGGCGTAAATGGTGAGAGGCAGCAGGACCGCATCCTCCATCTGTGCGTACCAATCGGCCGACAGTCCGGTGCTGATGATGCCGAAGTCCTCGTTGTACGTGACCAGCTGCTGCTTGGCCTGGTTGGACGAGGCTTGGTAGTACTCGACTGCGGTGGTGGCAGAGGACCAGGCGCTGGTCCACGTTCGGACCACGGTGATCGGCGAGCCAGCACCCACGAGGTAGGGGACCGAGAAGGCCTGTTCGCCATTGCACTGCACAGTGCCCAGTAGATCGATGATTCGCTTGTGCAAACCGAGCGCCAAGGGAACCACGTTGAGGTTGGTGGCGGCCGTTGACGCTCTACGAGGGAGAGAAGAGACAGCTTAGGCGTGACCGCGCAGAAGGGGCGCTCTCTGCGTGAGGGGAGAGATAGGGTGGGACCGTACTGATCATTGGTTTGGACCCAGGCGACGAAGTTGAGCATCTCCTGGATGTCGGTGCAGTCGAAGACGGAAACGTTCTTCAGCAGCGCGAAGTAGGTCATGTAGGCCATCGGCCACGAGGCGTTGCCAGCGGCATCGAGAATGTCGACGGAGAAGTTGCCCCCGACAAACGCGTTCTGGAAATCGTTCATCGCCGACTGCACGGAGGTGACCGACGGAGCTACCTTCATCCCGGCCTTGTTCACCATGTTGGCCCACGAGACGTTGGCCTGCACGGTGTCAGCGTAGCTGGCGAACGTGAGGCTGTTTGTATTCGCCTGTTGTGGCATGGGCACAAGTGGAATGGTCAGCAAAACAGTGTTTCGTAGGAATAAAGGCTGCGCCACGAACACGCAAAGGTAGTTATTACCTTGAGCCAGCTGATCCTGCTGGCTGTAGAGTTGCCCGCCAGGACCATGGTGCCACTCTGCGCCGGGGGCAGCTTGGCCAAGGTTCTGTTGGCCGCAGCCAATGCACCCTTGAAGGCGGGACTGAAGCTCTCCAGAGACAGCTTGAGCACCTCGATAATCGTCATGTCGTTGGTATTATCGTTGTAGCCGATCAAGATGGGTTCGGCGGGCAGAAGCGTCGCCAGAGCCGGATTGGCAGCTTGGATGGCCGAGTCGTTCCACATGGTGATGCTTCCTGACCTGTTTAAAGGCGCGACAGTCGTAAGAATAACTGGTTCGCACCGCAACAGCCATCCAGGAGAAAGGGAGTGGCACCAGATACGGCCTAATGTGTCTCTCTCGAGCACCTGAGGAGGTCGATGCAATCGAGCAGTGCGATCAGTAGTGAAGCAGAGATAGCACTATCACTTCAACTGGGATGCGCCTACCAGCTGAGAGCCAGCAGAGCTGATCGCTGGGACGTTGTAGGCCATCACCAGCGCCTGGCCCATCAGCGGTATCTGCGCAAACTCGCCGTACTGCGCTTCCATATCAGCCGACACCCGACGATCGATGCACAGAAAGTCCTGCATTTGGAGGGAAGATGTGCCACACAGTCGTTGAACATGAGTAGTTGTTAACGGGAGGAGAAACATATCAACGGCTCGGCAAAATTCTAGTTGGGGGAAAAGGGAGGGCACCTCGCCACCCGAGGCGTAACCCTGGAACGCTGTGGTAAGGTCTTGGGCCTGGTAGGCGATGCTGAGGGCCGCCGCGATGGTGAGGCCAAAAGAAGGGAAGTAGAAGTAAAAGGAGAGACATACGTGACGTCGTCGCGGTGGTACTTGTAGGCGGTGGCCCACTCCGCCATCACAGCACTCGGGTTGGGTGAACCCGCGCCGTAGAGTTGCACTCCGTAGGCGGTGGCTTCGAGGAGGGAAGGAAAGAAGAAGAAAAGGGAGGGGGGGGTAAGAGCCGGAGCGCAAGGCGCAGAGGTGTCTTTAAGGTGTACCTTGGCGGAGAAGGACCAGGAGGAAGACGCAGCGAAGCACGCCGCGAGCAGCCGGCTGGTGCGCCATGTGGAGTGTGCGTGAAAGAAAAAGAAGAAGGCCACACATCACAAAGGTGTGACGAAGAACGCCCAAAAGTTGAGCGAGCACTCTCTGATACCGGACCCATCGGCCACTCAGCGAGTGGTTGCCGCACGCCGATACATTGTACGCGTGTGAATCACCTTAAAACGAGCTAAGGTCGCCTACTTGCAGTAGATTGGCTGTAAGAATTACCATATTGCACGAACCAATAGGGCGTCGCCACGGACAAGCAAGACAAGCTCGGAGATTGCACCGCTAGTATCTTGTGCCCTCCGCGTGCTTCGCGTATAATTCGAGTACCTGGAGAACACGGTGAGGTGCTGGTTGTTGGGTGTTGTACTGCATGGTTGTGGGTGCGTGCCGTTTCGGGTGGTGAAGCGTCCTCTGGCTTCTTGTCGGTCCGCTCGCGCTTGAACCGCGGAAACCGAAGCGACAAGCCTCGACCGTCCAACTTGACGGTTGAAAAGATTAGTGAGCAGGTTGTTGTTGTGTGCGAGCAGTGAAGGCCAAACGTAGAATGAGGTGTACCAGGTGGGCGGCAGCCGGGTAGGTCGGGGACAGGGATATTCCTGCGGCGTGCACCTCCCACACAAGGGTCGGCTTGAACCACACGTCCGGTTCGGCTCCGTAACGGTAGTAGGAGAGCGGCTTGGCCAAGAGGTTGTCGCCTTCATTGAGGTACTTGGCCGTTGCGAGCAGGAACTCGTCGCTAAACCCAGTCATGCACTGCGTGTCGTGTCGTGTCATGTCGTTGGTCGTGTTGTGTCGTGTGGTCAGCTAGCACGACCTGCCTGAGTGTGTGTGATTGAATACCTTGCAAGTGGCTTGATACTCCTCATTTTCGGGATCCCATACGCCAAGGAGGTACGACCCGAAGACGCCGGCTCTCTTTCCTCGTCCATAGAATCCGCCCATCACCACCAGATCGAGTGTGTCCGCGCACCCCTCCAAGTAGTCGCGCTTCAGCTGAACGTGAGAGCACGAGAAACAGAGCTTAGCTCAACCACACACCACAACACATGCACCACAAGCAGCCTTAAGGTGAGTACCTTGAGCCACTTGAGTGAGCGTTTGCCAAGCTCATACGTAGCAGTAGCCTCGGTCCAGAGCTTCACCACAAGACCTTCTATGTGGGCCTGCTGGAGGGAACTATCGAAGTGGGCCGAGAGCTCTTCCGCCGTGGCAGCAAGCTGAGAAGTAGCCATCTGAAAGCCGCCATCCACTGGGACAAACTCACTCTCCAACCGCTTCCTTCGCTCAACCAGCGGCAGGTTGACGAGCACCTGGGCCACGCGAAAAACCTCAAAGTCTTAGTAAATGCAAGAGCCCCCGACCGAGGCCGTCGGTGGTACACGCGTACCTCCTTGTTGATGTAGAGTATATCGAAAGCGTAAAAGCAAACCTGCACTTTGATGGCGTCGAGGTCCACATTCTGCACGAGGATAGGGTAAATGCGCCTGAGTGCTGCGATTGTGTCGTCGCAATCGAATGTCACTGCCCTACCTTTCTAGCCCGAGTCGTGAGAGTTTGGAAGGGGAGAATCTTCTTGCTCTCCCGATCGTAGGCCACGATTTCGCCATCTGAGATGAGAGGAACGTGCGGTCTCGACTTTAGCGACAAACACAAACACACCTTGACAGAGCAGGAGGAGGTACTGACCGATGATGTAGCTCTGTGTCGTTTCTTTTTCGTACTGCGCGCGCGCTCGTGTGAGGTTAGTGATAACTGTTAGAGGCACACATCAGGGTGAACTGCTGCTGTCCAGCATCTAGACAAACCTGAGGCAGGCAGGCGATCAGGTCGGGAAACTTGGAAGTGTGGTCCTCGAGCCTCCTTGAATATACGGCGTACTTGTTGTCCCCGACTTTGTGTATCTGGCAGTTCGCGGTGAGATGTGGACGCATGCAAACGAGCAGAACCGAAAGGAAGTAGGCTGCCAGGTACCTGGGCGCGCTCGCCGTCATATTTGTACTCACAAAGGAACTGCACGCCAGCGCCGAACCGAGCTACGATGTCTTCTGGTCCACTGCTCGGACTGCTTAGCATTGGCTTCACGGGTGTGCCTGGCGAACAAAAGGTTGCGTAAGCGTTGGATGAAGGTAAGGTCGCCATGAAAGCTGCCGCCTCGGGTGGTCTGGGCGGTGGGGGGGGGTTGCCTGGTATCAGGAGATGCTCGTGAGAAAGGTCGAGCAGGTTCTCCTTCTCGAGAAGGAGCGGGATGATCGAGTCGTAGCAGGGCATCTCGTTGAAGGCACGCGTGACCAACTTGGCTACGCTCTTAAACTCTTCCTTGGAGGGCCAGCTCGCTGTCTGCGTGCTGTTGCTGCTGCTTCGCTTCTCAATGAACAGCGCATGGGCTAGCGCGACATACAAGGTTTTCTCAAGCACCTGACACATGCACAACACAATGCGTTCAAGTCAGAATAGTGTGAATACAGCCAATGCGCAATCGAGCAAGCCTGGTGTTACCCCTATTCGGAGATTCCCCTGCAGGATTCGGATGATGTAGCGAGCCTCTTCTTTCTGACACGAGACGAGCAGCTGCTTGATCGTGTCTCGCTTCCTTTTCGTCGACTGGATCTCGCGTGAGTGCCACCTAAGTGCATTGCGAGGGATCGGTGTCACGTACCTCGTTCCCCTTGAGCGTTGTTACGGTGAGCAGCGTCTTGTGGAGAGCGCCGCAGGTGAGAGAAGAGGCCGCACGGGTCCAAATGGTCTTCTGCCGGCCCTTGGCAAGCTCACCTACCAGCCCTACGTCTCCGGTTTCCTTCATATCGTTCTTCAGACTCTCGGCACTGCGGCCACTCGCCTCCGATATCGCTCGCATCAACTGCGTATGCATATGTTATGTGAAAACTTAGTGCTCCCACCCATTGCAGGTGGAAGTACACGTGATGATGATGTACCATCGAATCGCCAACGCCAAGTTCAATCCCGAGGTGTGGTGGAGCGATCTGTGATCGCAAGTGTGTTCAACAACAGTGAGCTCCCTGTTGGGTACGGCCGCAACATAGGCTGGCAGGGCATGTGTACATACCTTGTTGGAACAAAGATAAAAGCACGCTACGAGATGCTCGGGCGACGTCTTAATGATACATCTGGAAGCGGGTGGTGGCAATTAGTATGAGGGATCACACCACACAGCAGCGGAGGCAAGAGTCACCTGAACATGTTGGTCAGTAGTTCTACAATCTTTAACCGCCCGTTCGTGGATTCCACTGTTCTGAATGCGTTGACGACGTGCATGAAGGGAACACTGTGCGGCAGACCCGAGTCAGTTGAACTGTCACGCGAGGAAAGGGAAGGGAAGAGGGCGTACTCGGCACCAGCCTCCCAGAAAAGATAAGCTGCCGGCTTGAATTTGGCCACTGGTGCGCACAGCATCTCCGCCCGCTCTTGAGCGAACACGCTCGAGGATGGTGGTGCCGCTGGTGCCGCTAGCACCTTGGCTGGCGCAGGGAGGCTTTCCCTCTCATCCGAGTATTCTCCTTCGGCCTCGTCCGTGCCTTTGCCCACCGCACGCATCAGATCGCACGCGGTGTTGAAGGTGTCACCGTGGTAACAGCTGACAGGTACCGTCTTCGAGGTCGATCACTTCGGCCTTGCATGGCGCTGTCGATCGGGCACTGGCCTCATGTTTGGCACATCCAGACAGCCGGGAATCTCCGCCGCTAACGACTGCCGGCTCTTCTCCCTCCGGGTCAGCTGCGGCTTCAGCACGCGATGCCTCAGCTGGGCTCTTCTTCGCCCCTTGTGTGAAAAATGAACTGTGCCACGGAGGTCAACTCCCCGCAATAAAGAAGAGAAGGGAGGGAGACTACGTAATGCTGGTCTGCTGTTGGTGGTGCGGCTGGTCTAGCCTGGCCTTTTTCGCGCTTCCTCCTGTAGGCACAGTCACCCCCCCCCCCATCCGCTTTAACCCTGCGGTGCAAAAAAGAGAGAGAGAGAACGCGGCGGTGGAAGAAGAGAAGAAGTACGTGCAGTGGAAGAGGCCCTTTTGGGGGCAGCAGCACCTCGCTTCATTGCCCCGTCCGTAGTGTGTCCAATTCTGATCAGAAACTTCAAGAGATGAGCAAGCCCCAATTTACTCCAGGAAAAATTTACGCGAACCGGTCTGTACAACAAAAGGGGCCAAGCTCGTTCAAGGGAGGATGACCAAGGCCTCCGATGTGGGCTGTGGGGCGGCGTCGTCATATTGGCTACGGCGGAACACGGCCCTGAGACGCTCGTCCCGTCGCTCGTGATCCCTGGGCAGCCATTTGCCGCTGGCCAGCAGAAGCTGCTCCATCACGAGCCGAAGCCGGTCCTGTTCATCCACGCACGACAGCAGAGAAGCCACCACACGAGCAGCGCTGCCCTCTGTGTTGTTTTCGTCTGGTAGCAAGTATCGCGGCTATTAGTACACATGAAGTGACATGCGGCGCTGCGTGTGGCATACCCTTCTCCTTGCCCTTGCTATCGCAGACCAGTGTGGGGCTGAGCGTTTGAATCAGCTCGACGACCACTCCAGTCACCACCTCCACCAGCTGCTGCCGTCGTTCGACTTTGCTTCCTTCCAGCTTCTGTGCTTCCCTGTGGTGACAGTCACGTGCGCGCATTGGAGTACAATACAAGGATGAGGAATGTGAACAGAGCTCAGGCCCAGAAAAAAGAGACGTGCAAGCTATACCGGATGTCCTTCTTGATGTCCAGGAACACACGTGTCTCTTCCTGTGCTCCTTCGTCTCCAAGCACGGAGGGCGGAAGCCCTTGCAGGATGCTGGTTGCGACGAGCATGCATGGACGCGTGAGCAAGGTGGCCATCATCCGGGGAACACGTGAGAGAGAAAGAGAGGCGGCACCTGTGAAGCTCGGTCTGCTCCGCCTGATTGAGGGCAGCCGCCAGTGATAGCACGAGACCTTCCAGGCCATCGTCATCGCTCTGGCCACACACCCGGCAAGGTCAGCTGCATGAAGCAGCCGGGGAGGACTATGGAGATCCGTGGCCACGTACCTCACGTCGCAGCAGGGCAGCCTCCTTGGCGCGCTCAGCTTGTGCGGCCAGGTGCTGGCGCGCCCAGGTGAGCACGTTGCGGGCTACCGTGACGCTCAGCAGCCGGTTGGCCTCCTTCGTCCGCTCTGGCCCAGCCAAAGGCGAGGCCCCCTGTTGCACAATGTCAACAGGTGTTGTAGCGCCGGTCTCGTCGTCCACGATGGCTGGCGTGGCAGAATGCATGCTTCTTCCATCAAAGACGCGGAAGATGCGATGAAGCTCTGCGATGAGATGGTGCTCGTCCAGGGGGCTGGGCTGCCGCCGTAAGCTCTCGACGATCGTCAAAATCTGTTGGATTTGTTCCGTCTCAGAGTTGAGCTCGGTTCGTTCGTCAAGCAAGAGTCTCGCCCGCTCCTGTTTCTCGATCGTAGCCAGACTGATGATGGGCATAGCTGCTTCGTGCGCGGTGAGCCGCTGTCCCTCAGCAATTGTCACATCTCCTATGTCTCCTGTACCCGTACTGCATGTGGAGAAGAAGCCTCCAAACCACGACCAGGGCCACCCACTGCTCATCTCTTGTGGCTCCACTTCTGTTTCACACTTTTCCCTTTTTTCCTGGAGCGAAAGAAAAGGAAATTGTAAAAAGAAAAGGAGTGGGGGAAAAGAAATGCCTGAGAGAAAAACTTGACAAAAAGCGAGAAGATGAAGCGCCTCACGCCACGAGACCTGCCGCGGAGTTGTTGGAGAAACAGTGCCGCCGTGCCTTTAGTAGCGGCAGCAAGAGGTCAGGCCACTGCGCTCCGATGCCAGCTTCCGCGCGCTTGTACGACCCCCCCCTCCAATTTTAAATACTACAGCCTACTTTGCTTTCTCTTCTTGGGCCCGACCCTCGTCGACTCTCAAGCTTATGCTCTTTTTGATGGCTAACAGGTCTGTCCCTCCCCTCACAATCCCCATAGCTGCCTGGGACTGCGTACGGTCATCGAGTACCACCTGTTGGGGCGTATCGGCAGGGAGGGTGGCCAGCAGCAGTGCCGGCATCCGACCCAAGAACTCTCATCAGCGCAGGCACTACGCCGCAGGCTCGTCCGCAGGGCAGCCCGACGCGTCGCAGGGCGTGGCGGATGCGGCACCCCTGTCGCCAGCAGCCAAGGCCAGCCTGGAGAACGCCAGCAAGCTGATGGAGAAGGCCAGCGTCAAGTTTGAGGCCGAGGACTACGCGGGAGCGCTGACGCTGTACCACGACGTGCTCAAGCTGCGCGAGGGCGCTCTCGGCGCCGCGCACCCCGACGTGGGTGAGGCCTACCACCTCGTGGGCGAGACCCTGTGGACGCTGGGCAAGTACAAGGAGGCCGAGGCGGCGCTCAACCGCAGCTTGGCCATCATGCGGAACCACCTGGGGCCGAAGCACAAGGCCGTGGGCTCCATCCTGAAGAACATCGCCGAGTGTCGCCAGGCCTACCTCAACGACGACGAGACCAAGATCGCCCCCGCCAAGCGCGCCAAGGTGCTGGAGCAGACGCTCCCGCTCATGGTCGAGGCCACCGAAATCGCCCAGGCCCACGCAACCGGCGCCGAGGACGACGACTACCTCGACGCCGTGTACGCCCTGGGCGAGGTCTACATCCAGCTCGAACGATACGCCGAGGCCCTGCCCTGCTTCGAGAAGACCCTCCCGTCCTTCCTCAAGAACGCGGCATCCGACAGCATGGACACCCTCCTGTGCTGGCGCAACATGTCTGCCTGCTACCGGGTGCGCCGCCACTTGTCCTGGGCTTCGTGATGATGATGGCGCTTGTGTCCGCCACTTGACCGGTTCCTGATGACACTGTGTCTGGTCGTGGTGGTGTGCCATGGCGTGCAGGCGTTGGGCGACGTCAAGAAGTGGGAGGAAGCTGAGGCCAAGGTGGCCGAGATCGAGAACCACTGGAAGAACGAGACCGGCAGCGAGATGCACGACCTGGCGAGCATGCGCGAGACCATGATGGCTATGGGCCTGGAGAAGGAGCTCTCCCAATTCGACGACACATACCAGGAGCTCCTCACCGACGAGGACAAGGCCAAGCTCAAGCGGAAGCCCACCGACAAGCAGCCGGCCAAGCCTTCTTAGAAACCGCAAACTTGGCGTTTCTTGTTTTGTTGTGTTTCAAAAAGATGGAGCGGAGCACCACCCTAGCGAACACAAGATGTGCCACTCGGCGCGCCGCGGTGCTGACAAGCCACTTGCAAGGCCTGTGCCACCAGCAGCCCCCTGTGCAGCTCCGTGGTAATCACTCCCGGGCCTGAAGATGAAGAAGATGAAGAGGATTTGTGGAGGTGGGCTAAGAGGAGGAAGGGTGCGAGGGTGGGGATGGGGGGAGCAGTGCCACCACAACCACAACCACAGCGAAGAGCAAAGGGCTGCGTGAGGTCACGAACTACTACTGCAGAGACCAGAGCTTCATGTGCTTCGGGTGCTCCACCCACAACGCGGCCAGCCTGGGCCTGCGCTTCTATTACGACCAGGAGCACGATGAGGCCGTGAGCTTCTTCAGCGCCTCCTCGGCCCACTCCAGCTTCCCGGGCGTGGTCCACGGAGGCATCATCTCCGTCCTTGCCGATGAGGTCGCCTACTGGGCTCTTCAACTTCAGGTCCGCCTGACCACCTCCACCACACTTCCTGCCCTTCAATTTTCACACCAACCTCAGGCGAAGCGGCCAGCCCTCACCACGCGGCTGGACGTGCGGTACCTCCGACCGGCTCGTGTGGGGAGCACCCTGGAGGTTCGCGCCAAAGCCAAGCCCGCTGAGGCCAAGCAGGTACTGCACCCACGACAGCAAAGGGAGCGGCTGCTGCACTCTTCTCCAAACCTTTCTCTAATGGGCTGGCTCCCTTGGTCACGACAGGCAACCGTGGCGGTCCGGGTGCTGGACGAGAAGCAGCAGGTGTGCGCCCAGGCCACGGTCACCTACGCTCTGGTGGCCCAGGCCGCCATGAAGGCGGTGCTCGGTCCTGTCGTGGAGACCTACTCCCGGTGGGCTCAGGAGACGACGCCTCAGTGATTGGGGTGCGCAAAGGAGACTTGAATGACCCTTTTCGCTCTGTACATTCGCTCGATGTGTGCCCTGTCACAGGAGCTGTGGTGTCGTGTCCGCTTCACTCGCCCTGTTCGGCTGAAGAGGAGCTGTCGTCGTCCAAGAAGCGCACTCGCTTGGGTGGCGTGCCGTGCGCGGCCGCCTGAATTGAGTCCGAGACGTCGTCATCCGGCCCAACTGAGCCCTGCAGTAGTAGTGCACGGCCCTCCTCAGCGCCGTCCCTCGACCGCTTTCGTACCACGTCGTCGGTGGAGGGTTCCCTCGCGCTGCTGGAGGAGCTGGTGGTGGAGGTGCTGCTGGCGGCTCCCTCTTCTGTTACAGTTTCGCTCTCGTCTGGCTCCATGAACCGCACTCTCTTCACAGTCTTCTTCCTCTTCTTTTCCCGCCGCAGGTCGATCGAGGCGATGGCCTGTTCGCCCTCGTCCTCCACGTCGTCAGACTTTTCCTTGCCCTTGGAGCGCGGGTCGTCGCGGGCGTCGCCGGCTCGACCGAAGAGCTGGCGCGCCCTCTTGCCCAGGATGACACCCGGATCGCCGTCTTCATCCTCGGCCTCGGCGCCATCGCCGCCCAAACGATGGATGAACTCCAGTGATCGCAGCAGCGAGTGAACCTTGCGCTGCGCCTTGAGCTCGCTCTCCCCCTTCGTCGCTTCTGTGGGCCAAAACGAGTGAGGGATTCCATCACTGTGTGTGTGTGTCGTGTGTGTGTCGTGTCGTGTCGTGTGTGTGTGCCGTGTGTGTGCCGTGTCGCGTGTCGTGTGTGTCTTCGGTGGGTTGGGGGGTACCGGTCTGGGGAGCGAGGGACTTGTCCTGGTTGAAGGTGAGGATGGTGGCCTCGATGGTGTTCTCCATGACCAGCTTCTCCACGAACACCTCCTTTGTCTGCCCGATGCGATGAGCTGATGATGTGGCGCAGCGGAGCGGAGGCTCGGTACGGTCAGTGACCGACCACCAGCTGTGCACCACCACAAGAAGGACGTCTAAGCGCGCGTAGTGCAGGAAAAACGTACCTCGCTTGATGGCCTGCCGCTCCACCGACGGATCCCACACTTGATCCACGAAGAAGACGTGCGACGCCGCGGTGAGGTTGATACCGAAGGCTGCGGGTGGGGCGAAGGGCATGTGAGCGCACGAGCGACGAGAGGTTACTAAATAAAAGCACTTGAGCGACACCCATGGCTGGTGGTCGTACCTGCCAGCTCCGTCTTCATGAGAATGACCCGAACGTAATCGCTCGTATTGAACGTGGTAAGTGCGCTCGCTCGGGCTGCGGGCGACTGCAGTGAGGTGTCTCACGTCAGATGAGAGAGAGAGAGGTGCCACTGCGCAGGCGCGATACGTAACGGAATGAGAGCCGTAGAAGAACTCGCAGAAGGGAAGGCCGACATGCCGCAGCGCCTGGCGTAGGATTAGCAGCACGTGCACGAACTGGGAAAAGATGATCGCCTTCGACCCCTCTGGAAGCTGTCGTCATTGACAAAGGAGAAGAAGAAGATGGTGAAGAAAGAAGAAGAAGAGACGTATGAGCTGTAAAGGGAGATGAAGTGGGAGAGAGGAGGGAGGTAACCTGCTGCAGCCGATCGAGCAAGTAGGTGAGCTTCGTGGAGTTGACCTCGGACAAGGGAATGTAGGCGGCCTCGGGCAGGGCGGACTTCAACAGGAGCGAGGTGGCACCGGCCGATGCCGCCGCAGACGACGAAGCGGCGGCCGTAGGCGACGCCGCCACAACGCCGCCTGGGTGAACGGGCGCCGCCGCCTCCTCGCATGCCGGCGCCGAGCTCGTCGTGGGCTGTACAGGCGCTGTGGGAGTAGTGGGTGACAGCAGTGGCAGCGGCCTTGCGAAAGAGTCCGAGAAGGAGAAGGACGGCGGGGAGCTCACCGGAACCGTCGACGGGTCCCTGTCGACGCTCGGTGTGGGAGGCGGGTCCGTGGGTGCGGGTGCGGGCGCGGGCGCGGTTTCCATCGCTGGGAGAGAGTCCTCCATGACTTCCTCGCAGACGAGGGCAGCAGCCGCCGCCGAAGCAATTGCGATGGGCGGCGATACGGGCGTCGACGGGGTATCCGAAGGGCTGAATCGCTGGAGGCGCAGTTGGCGAAGGACCTCCAGCGACGGCCCTGCGGTCGGGGGCGGCGCCGGTGCTGAGCCCTGTCGGCCCAGGTCGGCCGGCTGCTCTTCCCTCGGTGGACCGGGCGGAGGAGAGGAGGAGGGAGGGCCCGGCGCAGCTGCGTCGTTGTGTAGGTCGAGCGAAGCGTCTCTCGGAGACACCAGCAAATGGGCCTCGAGCGTGTGGTCGCCCGCGATCATGATCTCCACCACGCTCTGCAGGTCCGCGACCTCCGGCTCGGACAGCTCCCCTCGCAGCTTCGGATCGTGCAGCTGCTCGCTGGCCACGTCGAGACTGGGAGGATTGATGGAGGTGGGCAGAACAGCGTTGGCCACTTCAGATCGGCAGCACGCACGGGGGGGGGGGTTGTGTACCAAAGCTCGCGCTGCTCTCTGTCGAGAGGGGTGAAGTGGAAGCAGTAGAGGATGAGGTTGGTGAGCGCCCGTTGCGCGTACTTGCGGTTGGCGGGGTGGAGGAAGGAGTCGGGACCGGAGCCGCGCGAAGCGATCAAATTGGTTTTGATCTGCGACACGATTTCGTTGTACTTCTGCCTTTCTGAGTCGTTGAGCTTCAACTGCACCACTGCACGATGGTGGCCATTAGAACATTGTGCGCCGACACACACACACACACACACACAGTACCGGAGGTGTGACACTCGGGCAGGGCGATTTCTTTGTCGATGTCCTCTTGCTTGTTTTTGATCATCACCTGCGAGAGGATGTCGAGGAGGCGCTGCTCCGCGGCAGCGACGCCCTTGCGGATCGGCCGCACGATGTAATCGGCCCAGACCCTCCTGTCGCAGAAGGGCTCGTGCCCCAGGAACATGAGCAGGCCGAACAAGTGCTCCAGCTCCGTTTCCATAAGGAGGCCTGCACACAGACAGCATCAATCAGTACACAGACGTCAGCGGTGGTGGCGTTCACAGGGGATATGAGGGTGCGAGGTGGTTGCCTGGAGTGGGTGTGCCGGTGCAGGCCCACTTTCTCTCGCACAGGAGGTTGGCGGCGAGATTGGCCTGGTTGGACTGCTTGTTGCCCATCACGTGGCCCTCGTCGATGATGAGACGCAGCCAGTACACTTGCATGAGCGGGCTCAGAGGCCGATAAGCTGATGCACAGAGGGGGAGGGGGGAGGGAGGGGAGAGAAAGGTGAGCCTCAAAGAGAGGGAAAGCAGAAGAGGAGCAAAGTCGCGGGTCAGCGCACTTTGGCACGACTTGCAGGTGGCGCTCCTTACGCCGAAATCGCAGTAGCATCGCTCGGAGAACGAATTGTAGCCGTTGAGGGTGCATCTCTCCTTGCTGATCCTCGTGTGCGATGTGAGCACCACGTCGTATCTGTGTGGGAGGCGGCCCGTAAGAGTTCAAAGTGGTGAATGGCGGTGAGACGGGAGCAAAGTGGGTACTTGGAGAGCTCCTCGGGCGGAGGGAACTCTTGGTTGCTCTGAATGACCAGTATGCTGAGGTAGTTGTCCAGGGTGTACTTGTGAAACTCTTGGATCCACTGGTCTATCAGCGTGGCGGGAACCACGATCAATGTCGCCGCGGAAAGATACATCTGAATCGCCAGAGGGAGGCCCTTCCGAGGCGTGCCGTCGCCTGCGCATTGAACAGCGCATTGTTGAGTCCAGACGACCAATACCACACACACAACACACAACAACACCAGGGTAGGGGCATACCAGAGGTGCCACGGGCTTGGGCGTCACCTTCGGAAGAACTGGACGCGCGCCGCCGTTCCGATGAGCGAGGCGGTTTTTTGGTGTCCTGTCGCTTGCGGTGGTGATCGTAGAGTATGTAGGGGGAGGGCAGCGCTTGGATGAACTCCCGCAGCTCCACCGGCAAGTTCATCCGTTCGAGCTGTGCGCCGGTGGCGCACTTGACCAGCGAACCGGCGAGCGCCTTTAGCGACAGCACGGACCCGTTGTCCACCGCTTCGTCCGACCACTCGCACGGCAGAACATCGGCGGATGCCGCTGCGGCAGCTGTGAGCGTGCGCCATTGTGAGTGAGCGAACAACAATACCGCGTGGGTGCTCTTGTTCGGTCATCGTACCCTCGGCTCTCTTGGCTGGCAGAGCCGCCCTGTGTATCTTGTGGTGCCCTATCGGCGTGCACTGCGTGCCCTTCGTCAGCAGGATGATCCCGATGCAGATCAGCGTCTTGCCCGTCCCCTGCAGGTCGAGAAAACTACTTAGCCGTGTAAATATGCGGGAGGCGGACGCGGCTTGCTCAATGGCGGCGCTAACGGCACCATCTCCTCACACAGAATGCCTCCCTTCTTGCCGCAGCCCTTCTCTTGTTTGTACATCTGGGTCATGGACACCTGTGGAACACCGGATGAAGGAAGTTAACGGACAGGCCGTAACTGACCCTGCACATCCGGGGGGGGTGCAGGTTGTCGTGAAGGCAGCACCTTTTGGTAGGTGTACATGGCCACCCCCGAGCGCAGGCCGTCCGGGGCGGGAAGGGGCGACAGGGACGGGGCGGGTAGTGCCCGGTACAGCGACTCAAGAGTGAAGCCACGCACGCTGTCGGATGTTGCGGTGGGCTCCTCGCTTTGAGCATTTGCCCGTTGCTTTTTCAACACTGGCCCCCCTTTCGCTGCCGAAGAACGGCGAGGCTTCTTCTTGCCTCGACGTTGCATCTTTGCTTCTTTTCGCTTTTCAATTTTCTTTTCCTTTTGTTCTGCTAGAAATTTACGGAGATAATCAGTAGATTCAATAAAAATACCAATCAACGACCAAGGAGGATGAGCATCGTGTGTGCAGCCATTATCGGCAAAGCGGTGGGTTGGCAAGTGTGTGTGGCGTGCCATTTGCCGCGTCGTAGGAGCGTGCCGCTAACTCTCCCCCCCCCCGAATAGAACAATCCCCTGTTCCTGCAGAGCTTTGAGGAGACGCAGCCCGATGAGGACTTGCGATTTCACTACATTGTTCATACATCGCTTGACATGATCGAGGAGAAGAGTATGTTCGCCTTGTACCCACTTTTTTGTTATTTATTTATTTATTTATTTATTTATTTATTTAGAAAATAGATAAACAAATAAGAAAACTGTCGTGTCGCTGACTCGACCGCTCGTGTGGACAACCTCCCTCAGTCGATGCGAAAAGGGCAGCGAGTGCCGGCGCCAAGAAGCAGAAGTCGCAATTGGACATGTTCCTCGGGCTCCTGCACCCCCACCGAAGAGCACAACGTGTACGGCGTACACCGACACGCCGTGAGCGTGCACTCGCTGAACGCGCTTTCGTGTTGTTGCCCGTGCGTGCCTTCTGTCGTGTGTGTGATGCAGCTATGGCTATGTGACGAACACCAAGATCAAGTTTGTGGTGGTAGCCTCCGATGAGTGCCAGGAGGCTGTTGTTCGTGTGGTACACGTCCCTGCTCTCCTCTTGTGCGTGCCCGCCGGAAAAGCTCACCATCAGCACCAACGCTACATTGCAGTTCTTGCGGAGACTGCACACGCTCTACGCCAACCAAGTGAGCAACCCTTTCTACACGCCAGACGACCGCATCACCAGCCAAAAGTTTGCTGACGCAGTTGCCGCTCTCGCAGCATCAGTTCCGACCTCATCTTTTGCTGCTGACGTTCTTCACTCCACATACAGATCTTAAAATGTAAATCCCAACTCCTCACCAATAACGACCACCTTACATGCGAGTGAGGGGTACACGATGCGACAAGGATGAAAAGAGGTAACGGTAGAGATTGTGAGGAGAAGTTCCAGAAGGATCTGGGGATAATTATTTCTGTAACAAGAGCAAAGAGCGAAACCAGAAATAGCTTGCTTGGATTACCAGCCAAGCTTCGTCCTCCTCCAGTGCCTCCTCTTGGAGTTGTACCTGTAAAGTACGGGCAAGGGTTGGTTTAGAATGACGCATCAATGGTCGGCAGGGCCACGAATGTAACACAAACCTGATGGTGTTGTCGGTACGCAGGCGGATCCAGTAGGGGATGGGCCTGTTCTGCCTCTGCTTCTTGGCCAGCTTTTGCTTGATCTTGAAGGACTTGTGGCTCGGCTGTAAACAAAATGAGCGAGATTAATTTGCTGTGCGTACAGTAATGCAGATGATGCAAGGGCTCCCCCAGCGAATGGCACTAAAGGCCAAGCAACAGGGCGGCAGGGAGGGGTTGGATGGAGGAGGGGACGTGACATACCATGGCGAACTTGTTGATCAAAGTACACCTCAGGGATGACGATGAACGGTAGAGAGAAAGGAAGAAGGAAACAAAAGAGGTCGACAACAAGGCATTTTGTCTTTCGGCCCGATTTATAGTTCCGGGATTTTACCCAGCGCGAGGGCATTTGTCGACCACGCGCCAGACCTTGCGCACAACGGAAAGATCGCACACAACATGAAGAAGGCGCTCGGAAGATGGGGCCAGAAGGCCGGCGAGAGTGTGGGAATGGTGAAGCGAACGACTGAGGTGGATGAGGACTTCGCCAAGCAGGTGGCCGCATCGGAATGCAGGAAGGACGTGCAAGAGAAGCTCGTGAAGCATCTCACCCCCGACTCGATGAAGGGCAACCTCTTCTCCAAGAACGATCTTTCACAGGAGGAAAAGATGGGCGAGTTCCTGGTTAAGAGCGGCAACACGCTGGCCGGCACAAATGACGGCTCGGCCTACGCCTCCGCCCTTATTGCAATGGGCGAAATGCTCAAGGAAATCGGCGAGCAGCACAGGCAAACAGATGCGACTATCGATGAGCGGACCATCCAGCCCATGAAGCACTTCCTCGACACCAAGCACGTGCCCCCACCAGCCACGCTCCACTCCTTGGCTGCAACGCTGACAAAGGTGAAATTCCCTCTAACCGCGAGATATTTCTCTTTCCCTTTCTTGTGCTGTGGTGATCGGCACCGTGTAGGGTGAAGGACATCAACCAGTTCAAGAAGAGGAGCGAGAATTGCCGGCTCGACTACGAGCGGGAGAAGAGAGGTACATCACCGCCTCTCGCACGCTGCACGTTATCTCACCGATGCATCGTGCTGGTGGCGTGGTGACTCTGTTCTTCTTGACGGCTCACTCAACCGCGGTAATGCAGCGGCCGAGAAGAAGGGCGAATCGGAGGCACTGCATCAGGCGTCCAAGTGGTACGAAGAAAGCAAGGAGCAGTACTTCAACGCCATGGTGGCGCTGCAGGACGGCGAAGAAGAGCAGATCTCGCAGCTGCGGGCGTACGTCGACGCACAGGCCGAGTTCCACCAGAAGTGTGTCGAGGTTCTTCGCGAAGCCTCTGCCTCCCTCTCGAGGAAGGCCCAGGAGGCCTCCTCGCGCCCCAAACACGCCTACACTCCTTCCCATGGCGGCGACTCCTACTCAGCTCCTGCGCCGGCGGCCAGCGGGCCAGCCTATGGTGCACCGTCCGATTCCTACCAACCGGCGGCCCCTTACCAAGCCGCACCCGAAGTGAGACGCGCGGTTCCGCCTCCCCCTCCCGCCCGCGCGACCAACCAGCAGCGTTGCACCGCCCTCTACGACTTTGCCGGCGAAGGCAGCGGCGAGCTCACCTTCCATGCCGGAGACCAAATCAACATCACCAACATGGTCAACGCCGAATGGTACCAAGCCCCGTCTCTTCTCTACTGCGCACCCACCAACGTCGCGCCAGTACTGAACGTGGAGCTTCTTTTGACAGGGCCGAAGGCGAGCTGTGGGGTCAGACGGGCATTTTCCCTCTCAACTATGTACAAATGCTCTGAGCACCCCCGCCTCCCATTTTCCACAACAGACCGCACACCTCCACAATACTGAACCGGTGCCTCGCGATTGATAGCACAAACTCTTTTTTTCTTTGTTGCAAAGTCGGTGTGGGTTTTCATCACTGGTGTTTCGTTTCGTGGTTCCTCCTTCCTACGCGGCCGTCTTGTTGGCCTTGACGATCTCGGTGATCCCTGTTTTTGAAGAGGAAAGGCGTCAGTCTCCTACGCCTGTGGTGGCTATGCAGAGCCACCGGGCGAGAAAGGAAACGAGAACGAGCGTACGGTTGAAGACGGCATGGAAAGCCTTGGCACCGGCAGAGTCGGGGCATCGGTCAACGTAGGACTGTCCCTCATCGCATGCCCGCGCCAGCTGCGGGTCCAGCGGAATGCGGCCCAGGAACGGCACACCGAAATCGGTGGCCATCTTCTCCGCGCCGCCGGTGGTCGGCGCAAAGATCTGCGTCTCAGTCTGGAGTCGGACGCACCACACACACCGGACAAGATGATGCGAAGAGTGAGAAGTGATGGAGCAGGCCTCAGCGGCAGACGAGTCGAGAGGTAAGGGGGGAGGACAGTCGAGCATTGGGGGGGAGGGGGGCTACCTTGCACTTGGGGCAAACAAACCCGCTCATGTTCTCCACCACACCAATCACCGGCACGCCCACCTTCTTGCAAAAGTTGATCTCCTTCCTTACATCGGCCAGCGCCACTTCCTATTGTGATGCCGTCATCGCCATCAGCATCATCAGCCACGCGGCGCGCACACGAGCAAGCGATGAGGCTATGGGCAGTGAAGGACCATACCTGCGGGGTTGTGACAATTACGGCGCCGTCTACCTGCGCCGCCTTGAGGTACTGTGTGATGGAAAGGTGCTCATCGGACGTGCCCGGAGGAGTATCGATGATCAAGTAGTCCAGGTCGCCCCAGTCTACGTCCCTCAAGAACTGCTTGATCAGCCCTGCATCGTGCGGTTGCGCGTTGTTTCCGAGTCAGAAGCAAAAGCTCAGCTGGTGCAGAAGCGGCAGCACAGAAGGTGAAGGGCGTCGGCACTGTGGCATGGAGTAAACTCAAGAGGAGGCAGTACCGTTCTTCTTGGGTCCTCTCCAGATGATGGCGTCGTCCGGATTGCTGAGAAGAAACCCGACGGACATGACGGCAAAGTTGTCCTGGACGTAGACGGGTGACCAGCCGATATTGCTCGAGTGAATCTGTTCACCCTCGAGACCCACAATCTTGGGGATGGATGGGCCGCAGATGTCGATGTCGAGCAGGCCGACCTGCGTCTCACCCGATGCGGCAAATGCGAAGGAGAGCTGGGAGGAGAACGTGCTCTTGCCCACACCGCCCTTGCCCGAGAGCACCAGCACCTTGTGGCGCACTGCCTCGAGTCGTCGCGTGATGAGATCGAGGTCGGGGTCCGGCCCCTTGGGCGCCTCCTGGCATGCCTGCTGGCTGGGGCAACCCTTGCACGCGTCCTCCTTTCCTGCCTTTTCCGACTCCGGACCCGGGCAGTTGTGCGGCACCTCCCCGCTGTTGTTGCTCGTGTTGTCGCTCATCTATCTTTGCTCTCTGTCTTGATGTGCGTTCTCGCAGGGCAAAAAGGTCTGCACCAATTTCGGCGAGAAGGATGGGGAAATGAAGAAGAAAAGAGGAGGCCTTACACGTCAGTGCATCAACCCGACCGAGCAGCAACACGCTGCACTTCTTCTGATCATGGGACAAAGGGTGGAGGTTAACTTTCTGCGGCTTCTGGCCTCTTGCGAGCGCCTCATAGCTGATGACAAGACCAAGCGCAGCCCTGAGATCCGTAAAAAGCTTCAAAAGGTACCCCCCCCCCAACATGCAGGCCAACCGCGAGGCACGAACCACATTGTGATGGTCTCTCATGCTTCACACCGCTGCGCCAGTTTGCAGCGGTGCTAGCAAAGCAGCTGGAGACGCTGCAAGGCGGAATGGACGAGAACACACGGCAGCACCGCGATTTGCCTCGAGAGTTGGCAACCGACTATGCGAAGCGGGTGGCAGGAGTGAGCGACTACGCCAGCCACCATACGCGGGGTCCCCACCAAAACGAGCTGCGAGCACGCTTGTTCGAGCTGCACCCCAACTCTCCGCGCGCGGCTGCAGAGACTGTGCCACACGAGGAGCTTGCCGCCACTGGGGCAGACGACCCCATCCCCTCTACCCACACACTTGCGACTCTCGCCAGCGACCACCAGCCAGATGCTGAAGACGTGACGGATTCGGCCCAGGCGACCAGTCTGCGATATCGAGGCCACGCGAAGGGAACGGGCGCGCGCACGACAGGGGATGAGAAATCGATGCTCTTTGGCCGAGGACGAGCAGAGGCTATGACGCGGTCGGAATCAGATTTCATTGGCCAGCCAGATGAAGAGACAGTGCAGCAGGTGCTTACTGGTACACTTCTCTCCTCCACACAACCGCTAGTCCTCATGCTTTTGCTGACTTGTCTTCTCAGATGATATGCTCGACATTGTGAGTCAACTCAAAAACAACAGTCTTAGCCTCGGTTCCATCCTCAAAGATGACGCTGCCAAACTAGAGGATCTTGAAACGCAGACAGGTATGCCACCTCTATGGGAGCAACTGGCAGTTACACTTGCAAAAGCTGAATGCTCTTGCTCCACCAGATAACAACCTCCAAAAGATCAAAGGCGAGAATCAGGATCTGCAGCAACAGCTGAAGACGTCATCGTCCAACACGACCTGGTTCTGGATCATCATCATCTTCGTGGCGCTTACGTTCGTGTGGATGGTTGTCTTTATCAAGCTCTTCCCTAAGAACTGAGTGTTCTTCAAATAAAGTCAAACAAAAGACAAAAAGAAAACAAAGGAAAAGGAAGGGCGAGAAGGAAAAAGCCGTTGGACGACCGCAACGGTCACACCTGCCCACCGGTGGACGAGGAGATAGCTCTTGATCGTTACCACCAACTCGACTTCCCCATTTCACTACACTGGAGAGAGAGCGAGCTGGCGCAGCGAGAGAGGGAGAGAAAAATGGAAGGACCGAGCGAGGCCAGCATTAAAGAGAGGAATGAGAAAATCGAGAATCTATGGAAGCGATCGTTCGAGGGGCGAACGATGTTCAACGACCTCCCTCGATTCGCGCAAACCATCCAGGTGTTCGGAGGCACGGGCGATCAGCTGCTCCACGCACCCAAGGCCGGGGCGGGGGCGGTGAAGAACCTGAAAGATCTTTTCACCGTGCTCACGCATGAGCTCGAGGGGGCCGAGCTCGCGGAGCGGGTAGCGCGCACCTTCGATGAGGAATTCAAGGGACCCGAGGATGTGCAGAACAAGGCCCACTTCGTCAAGTATCTCACCGACATCTACGGAGGCGAGGAGAGCCGTGTAGTGCGGCTCCTTCAGGCCTGCAATCAGAGCGTACCCAGCCCGGCCATCATCGAGCTCCAGAAGGCCCTCATCACCAAATCGGCCAGGCTGGCATGACGAAGGACGTCAAGGACAGCTGGATCTTCCACATCCACCTCCCCCCGCCGCACGCCCCTGGGGCAGCGGAACCGCCCAAGGGGCGACCCGGCGCCGTGGTGCGAGTGGAGAAGAGGGAGCAACACATCATGAACATGTTTCAGTACCAGTGGCAGCTCCTCATCCACTTCGATGAGGCCGTTCAGACCGTGCGGTCCATCTCCCTGCGCGTCATCGATCTCATGTACCACCAGAACCTCCACGCCGCGCTCCCACTCAAGCAGGGCCTCGTCGCCATCCTCTCTCCCTACCTTGCCCCCAACGTCGCTCAGCTTGCCGAAACTCGCGAATGGTGTGTACCTCGCCTTGCGCCCTCCTTCCCCTTTCTTTCACTCGCGACCGTTTCCTTCTTTTCGCACTTCGCTCTCGTCTCGTTCACACGTTCGGTACTCACTCCTTCTTGTGTACGCATACCCCCTTGTCTACGTAGGGAGTTCTTCAAGATGGAGGGACCAACAGCTGCGGCGGCTGAGGAGAAGAGCCTGCTTGTGATCAACGACGCCGACAACGCCGACAGCGATTTTGAAAGCTCGCGAACGGATGCGAAGGCCAAGAACCCGCGGAGAGAGGGCTCTCCTCTGTCGAACAGGTCCGATTCACTCCACTCCACTCCACTCCTCTCCAGATCTTTCCTCACAGCTTATCAATACACGGAACAGCGGCAAAGAGCAACAGGAAGCGAGCAGGAGGAAGGCGATCGTGACGTACCCCAACGGGGACCACTACGAGGGGACGCTGAAGGGACAGCTGCGGGACGGTGAGGGAGTGTACACCACGCTACGGGGGGACGTCTACATGGGCGAGTATCATCTGGGCAAGAAGCATGGCAAGGGCACCTACACGATGAAGGACGGCACGCGGTATGAGGGCGATTTTAAAGATGGTATGCCTATGTTCTTCTTCTGCTCCTTTCCACTCATTCCTGACAGCGGCTGACAACGCCATTTCGTGGCCTCCCCCTTCTCCCTTCAGGCAAACCCAACGGCAAGGGCATGTATGTGTGGGCGAACGGAGATGTGTATACAGGGGAGTTTGAGAACGATGAATTTCACGGCCACGGCAGCTGGAGCAGCGCTTCGGGCGAACATTATGAAGGGGGTGCGTGCGAATACTACTCACATCCCCTTTTGCATGCCGCTCCTTGGCGTGAGCTGACGAGCCTTCATCGCGTGCAGAGTTTGTACATGGTAAGCGGCATGGCTGGGGTACTTTCAAGAGCTCATCCGGCCACCGATACGAAGGTAAGATCTTGGTCAGCCGCGGGCTGGGCTCTCCGAGGTGGTTCGAACTGTGTGCTGATATACATATAACCGTGCAACGCTGGCTGGCAACCAACAGGGCAATGGTTCAACGACTCGCGACAAGGGAAGGGCAAGTACTACTTCGCCACGGGCGAGATGTATGAGGGTCCCTTCATGCAGAATAATTTTGACGGGAGCGGGGTCTACACCTACGCCAACGGCGACCGCGTCGAGGGGATCTTCAAGGCCGGCCAGCTCACGGAGATCGTCACCCTCCATCAAGTCGGCGCTTCAGAGGACGCGGAGGCGGAGAACGAGAGTGAGGACTAGGGCCGCCCGACCCGTCAGCCCGAATCGAGTCGAACGACAGCGCCAAGCAGCCAGCGAGCCTGTGGGCAACCCCGAGGCGCGCCGATACGAGGGACACGGTGACCGGCGAAGGGAGACGACGCAGGAGGAAGAAGGTGATGGGGAGGAGCGAGGTGCCCGCCCTGCACCTTGCCACTCGCCCAGCGAGCTGCGCGCGAAGAGGAGAAAAGAAACACAAGTCTTGTGTTGAAGTGCCACCACACTTTTTGAATTTCTTTCTCTTTTTCTTTGGCTTGGCGATCGTGTCGGTGGGAGGAGCAAGAACTTCACACATCACACATCACGCGCAGAGAAAGCGGGACTGCGCTGCTGTGCGAGCTGTGATGGCAACGGCCCCTTCGCCGCCCTCTACGCCTGATGCGCGGCCGGGCTTGCCGCTGGAGGAGCGCTACGTTAAGCTCGTGGAGGCCTACAAGAAAATCAAACATCAAAATGGACTCCTCAAGCAGGCCGTGCTGCAGGTGCGCCCTAGATCTGTGGCCACACATGAGCGCTCATATTAATCTTTGAAATGCGCTTCATGTTTGAATTAATTACATTAATTATTTCCATTGAAGGGGCGGGAGGCACTGCAAGAGGAAACCAAACTGAGGGAAGCTACGCAGCTGGAAGCGAAGGAAGTGGAGAAAAAGCTGCGTTCTGCCGTAGAGGAGAACAACATGCTCAAATTCCACAACAATCGCATCACCAAGAAGGTGGAGGCTCTTCAGCGACGCTTCAAGGAGGTGCCACCTGCACGCCACTGCCTGGTTTTCGCATGCGCTCCAGCTCTCATCACCGGCGTGACCCTCCCCACACGCAGGAAGAGCAAACGGAGAGTCTGGGCTGGTTCAGTTCTGGCACCAAGGTGGAGCTGGCCAAGAAGAAGGAGGAGCTACAGGCCGCTAAGACCGACCTCGAAAGCAAGATACGCGAGAACGGTTGCTCCCCTCCCCATCCTCCCCAATCTCGCTCAGCCCCGCGCGTGTGCGAGGTGTGCACCCGCCGTTGTGTGCGCGACTTACTGATGTGCAATCACGTTATGGGTCACAACAGAAAAGCTGCACCGAGAAAACGATGAGCTGAAGAAGGAGCACAAGCAAACGGTGGAGCTCCTGACGCAGAAGATTCACGGCATCAAGAAGAACCTGCAGCAGCAACAGGACGCTCTGCGCGACAAGGAGAACGAAACCAGCTTCGCCATCAACAACCTCACCCAGGAGCGGGACCAGCTCTCCTCCAAGAGTAAAATCCTTGACGACACACTACAGCGGTACGCCGAGCGCTCGCCGTGCCCTTGTAGCGTTTGCGAGGCCGTGACTTACTCAACTTATTTCCACTCATCGGGGGCGCAGAACGCAAAACCTGATGAAGGAGCGCGAGATCGCGATGACACAGATCCAACAGAAGCTGCGGGACGACCTGACCAAGGCATCGTCCGTGCTCGCGCGGAAGGTGCTCTTCGACGACTCCAAGAACGAGGTCTACAACCAGTTCAACGTGGCCACGTTTGATCGCAAGAGGCAGCAGCAGCAGAAGGAATTCGTGGACGTGTGGCTCAAGCACTTCCGCCAATTCATCTCGCACTACGGTGACTATTTTTCTGCCTTCCATGAGCGTCTACTCATCCTCAACAAGAGCATGACCATCACGGACGCGCTTCGCAACATCAACCGCAAGGTACCTCCCGTCTGGTCGTTGCATCTCTCGTGAAGCCACACGCTGATGCGTGCATGTTCATTCAGATCATCCTGGTCCTGCCCTCGCACACCAAGTACTTGTCCGGCATTCACGCAGCCAGTCACCGCCATGGCAGCTTCCTACGAGCAAGCCAAACAGCCAGCCCAAGTCGACCCTCAGCAAGCGGTACTCGTGCTTACTCGTTGGGCGAGTACACGCCTCAGATTGAGTAGTCCTAAACAACATGTAACTGACCTGACGTACTGTCACACTTCTGTGTTACAGAAGGCAGCTGTGGCGGCGATCAATCGTTACATGCTGTTCAACAAGAAGCTTCTGACCTACCAGTTGCTTCGGTACGTGCTTTGTGTGTTCTCTCTCTCCCTCTCTTGTTCTCTCATCCAATGCTCGTCATGTCCACACACGCTAGCCTGGAAGAGGAATCCAAACAAGAGAACTGTGACGACGGGATGAGGGCGCGCAATGAGCTGCTGGGCGACACGTACACCACCATGCAGTCCCTCTTGGAGAAGCTCTACAGCTATGTGTGCCTGGCGTTCGGCGGTGAAGGTACGCTACGTAACCCAAGCAGTCTCGTCTCAGTGGCCGATACTTACGCCAACCGTTGGTGGCCATCCAGACGGGAAGGTGAGCAAGTGCAACGAGCTGTTTGTGGTCAAGCAAGTCCACGCATGCTTGGTTTCGATGAACACGGCCATGAAGAGTACGCACCTCCGCCTTACGGTCCTCCCCATGTTGGCTGCGCGCCTGATTGGCTTCGTGTGTGTGTGTGTGTGTGTTGTGTGTGTGTGTGTTGTGTGTGTGTGTGTGTGTGTTGTCCGACAGCTTACGTAGCGCAGTTGGGATCGAAGATCGACCACGAGCACAAGGACCCCTTCGTGCTTCCCGCCCTCAAGTCGGTCAACGAGCGAATAATGCAGTACCAGACCTCGGTCGCGACCTTCTTCGCCAAGATGTCCCAGTCCTTCGAGCTGTTCCTCAACCTCCTCCTGAGCCCCATTGCTATCCCCGTCCGCGGGGTGCAGGTATGACGTCTCTCCCCAAGCGTCCTGTTCGTCAGACGGCACTTTGTCGCCAACGCGTTCGCCGCAACACTCTCACCTCTCTCATGAACTCGATTGCAGCTGGCACAGCAGGTCGGTACATTCCGTCTGGAGAAGCGGGCGAGGGACTACCTCGCGCTCGTCAACAGCGAACCCGCTCCGGAATCAATCCCCTACCTCGAGGCCCTGAACAACAAGCGCACCGTGGCCGACCTCGACGGCGCCCGGCGACTCATGCAGGAAAAGATCCAAAAGCTTACCCGTACGCGGTCCCTATCGCACACGTTTGCCCATACACTTGTGAATTAACGCGCTTGGCGCCTGGTCGAATGGTTGGTGTGGCCAGAGGTCAACGAGCACCTCCTTCGCGAGAAGAATCGACTCCAGGCGGAACTCACCTCGTCGAAGGACACCCTCGCATCGAAGCAATCGCGTCTCGACACCCTCCTCTCAGAGCTGGTCAAGGTGCGACAGAAGCACGACGCCCTGGTACGTCACAAATTCTTCCACTCCCTCCGTCTGCAGCCGCGCTTTTGGCTCACCAGTTCCTGTCCGCCCCTCACCAAGCAGCACGCACAGTACCAGAAGCTGATCAAGAACGGCCAGGCCGTCGGAGGCTCGTCCCTCTTCTCACCCCTGTCGTCACCCTCGCTTTCAGCGGACCAGGGTGTGTCGGTGGTGCCAATCACCACCGGCGCGCCAACGTCGCCGGAGCTGCTGCCCGCCCCCGACAAGGAGTACGGGCTCACCGACAATCCGGCCGTTTCGTTCGACGATGAGGAGCAGCTCGCCACCGACACCTCCGACTATGAGCGCTCGGTCACCGGCACCCCGCTTCTGGGCTCCCCGCTCATCTCGTTCGAGGAGGGGGCCAACGATGCGGAGGAGGCCGCGGTGGAGGGCTCCTCGCCGGCCACCACCTCATCGTCCCTCTCGCTCCTCGACCTGGATTTCGGACCTCCGTCCACCGACGGTCTCTCTCTTATGGTACGATGCCAGCCACGGCGTTTTGTTTACCACCGCTTCCCGTGTACTGATGTTGCGTCGACGGTGGGTGCGCGCGCCCAGTCCTCCTCCAACCTGCTCGACCTTCCTGCTGGAACGCAGGCTTCGGACAAGGAGCGATCATTCACCGCCAGTGAGGTGGTCGGGGCCAGTAAGTCCTATTCTCTAATCGTCATGGACGAAACGGGCTCCCAATCCGATGTACGCACCACCAGCCCAACATCAGCTGTTGCTTAGGCGCTCTCACTCACGATACTTCCGCTGCACCGCTGGCAGTCTCTGAACCTATCAGAAGAGGACCGAGAACGAGAGCAAGCGCTCAAGAAGTTCTACGAGACCCGCGTGGATCAGCTGATGTCGCAGGTACGTATCTGCATGCCCGTTTTGGATGGGGCTCCCCCTCCCTTGGAGGGCCGATTACTAATGCCCACGCCACAACAATAGATTAAAGAAGCCGATAGGAAGGCCGTAGAGCTTCACGAGGAGTACACCAAGGCGGTGGACAGTCTGGCCAGTCTCGTCACGCAGCGAGATGAGCTGCAGGTACGCGCCCGACACCCCGGACACTCGACGCTCACAGTTCTCTTTCTGACGCCGATCCTCTCGCGACCAACAGAACAAGTTGTCTGTGGCCGAAAAGGCGCTGGCTGCCTCCAAGGACGAGTTGGAGTCCACAAGAAGCAACTACGAACAACAGATGAAGCTTCTCTCAGAGCACCTCGTCACGCTCAACGAAAAGATCATGGCCCAGGTCTCCCCTCGCTCGAACCTCGTGCTTTGTCAGCGCACCTCTCACTCTTTGGGCGGTGCGCGCGCGTTTGTTTGACAGGAGGAGCAGATCGGCAGCATTCGAAGCGCGCAAGCGTCTGGCTATCCACTAGCCAGCAGAGGCAACAGGCGGGGCTTCTAGACCGCCACCGCCACATTTCACACCCCTCCCTTCTTTTTCCCTCCTGTTGTTGTACATGATGAGGCCTCTCGGCCAACCAACACCACCAAACTAAAAACAAAAAACCCTATTGGCGTGTTCACAGGTTTCGTTCCAAACTTATGGGCGAATAGGAAATGATTAATTAATTACACAATTTTTACGAAGCGCGCGAGGACCTCCAGCTGACAATCTTCACCCACGAATCAGCACAGGCGTGCTGTCGCCGTAGATGTTGTTGCCTTGGGCGTCGAACTTGACGGCACCAGAGAAGAGGACAGTGTCCGTGGCGGCGATCGCTTCCACCAGCTTCTTGCCCGAACTGCGGCCCGATCGCACGGCAGCCTGTTCGATGATGATGCCCGCGGCTGTCGCTTGGGCGTTCACCGTCGTAGCGTTGCGGGAGTACCGCTGGGCAAAGTCGGCCGAGTACCGGGTGAGGCTGCACCACCTGTCGTGGCCCAGCACGTCACTGTCGGCCCTCGGCCTGAGAAGCTCGCTGCGCACGTCGCTCCTCTTTCGGTTGTCGCCTTCCACCTGGAACAGCGACAGCAGGGGCACGTCCTCCTGGTCCAGGGTGCGCAACAGGCGCCTGTCCGGTGTGAACCCGGCTGACGCCACGACCAGGGCGTCGGCACCGTGCTCGTCCACCAGCTCCCGCAGGAGTCGGCTGGTGCTGGTGCTGTCGCTCAGGTCATCGAGGAACACGAGGCGCACAAAGGCGGCCTTGTTGTTGGCCAGGGCGATTCCGCCGGCGTCGTTGATCCGCTCCTTCCAGATGGCGAGGCCCGACTGGAACTCGTAGGCGTTGGCGTTGCCCGCCCCGGTGAGCGAGATCACCACGCCGACGGTGAATTCGGTGGTCTTGTACGAGTTGGTCTTGGGGGCGAAGGTGACTCCATTGGGTCCCGTGGCGGAGCCGGTGGGAATGACCTCGGTGGTGAACTTCTTCAGGTCTATCTTGGTTAGGCTGGCTCCGCGGCCGCCGGTGGCGTACGCGTAGCGGGAGTCGTCGGAGATGGCGATGGCGACCGGGTCGATATCGGACGACAGGCGCGCCACGACCTTGGTGGTCCAGTAGTCGATGATGAGCACCTGACTGTTCCACACGGCGGGGGCGACGATGTACTTGCCGTCGGGCGAGACGGCCGAATAAAGGAACTGGCGGGTGCCGTAGCCTGCGTAGTGGCGCACCACGGGCGGCGGGTAGGCGGCGGTGGTGTTGATGGCCCACAGCTCGCCGATGCCGCTGACGATGAGCACGCCCGGCTCGACCGTGGACCAGGTGAGGCCGCGCACGCCCACGATCGTGGTGCCCAGGAGGAACGGCGTCTTGACCTCGCCCGTGACGGCGTCCATGGCCGCGATGCCCTGCGGGCCGAGCTGCAGCCACACGGTCTGGCCGTCGTTCGAAAAGACGAAGTTGTGGCACTTGTTGGTGTTGTTGCCGAGCGTCCACACCTGGGCCGGCTCCTCGGAGCCGTCGGTGAGGTCGTAGACCAGAATGGAGGGCTTTGCGGTGCCGTCGGACGAGGTCCACTCGGTGTTGACGTAGAGCTTGGTCTCGTCGTGGTTGAACTTCACCCCGTGGGGGGCGCGCTGGGCCGAGTGGGCCGGGGCGCCCTTGGGGAAGGTGTAGAACAGCTTGTCCTCGAGACGCAGCGGGATGTTGATCCGCGACAGATAGAGGCCCGCGTCGCCGTAGGGCGAGTCGAAGTCGTGCAGGCCGAAGTTGGACACGATGGCAGTGGTGCCGTCCTTGGAGACGATGACCTCGTGCGGCAGGAGGCCGACCTTGGCCTTGCCCAGCAGTTCGCCATCGGTCGAGTAGAATCCCAAGGCGCCTTCAGTCTCCTCGGCGGTGAGAACGATCTTGGCCTTATTCGCACTGGTGCCAGCGGCAAACATGAACAGGGCCAGCGCAAGAGCGAGGCTCCACGCCTTGGGTTGGTACATGGCTTGTGGAGTGCAGGATGGAGGTTGTGTATGTTACAGGTGTTATGCGTGCAGCAGCTGATAGTATGATGAAAAAAGACCGAGCGAGGGACCCTCGGTTTTATGGACCTGGCTGTGTGCCCATTGGTGAGACCACAAGGTGGAAGCAACACAAAAAGAAGAAGCTATTCTTGTCACTGCAACAGGTTGCAAGCTTACCATCGATCCACAACATTTATAGCAACTGCACGCCATCGGAGGTAGCTCGCTGCAGTGGAATCTCGCACATGAACTTGTCCGTGGGGCATGGCCCTTGGTGGTGCGCTCCGTGGAGAGCGAGCCCAACGGCGAAGCAGCGCTACATGGATATTCACTTTCGATTGGCCGGATGAGGTCTCCCGGCTGCTTTTGTGTGGCCCGGCGCTGGATGTCCCGGCCGCCGCCATTGGCGCGAAACTAGATGATCATCTTTCCGGACCAATCGCAGCAGATCTCATGTTGGAACAAGTTACCCTACAACTGCGTCTATTATTGTTGGCCACTATCGCCAAGAACATCTCCCAACTTCTCGGTAGTGGTCGCACAAACGCGTACCATTGCCACCACCACCAAGACATGATACACAAGCTTCGGGCAGGCCTCTGCCTCACCTTTGTGCTCGCCCTACTTTGCTCCGGTTTCCTACACGAGGCGCAGTGCCTTTCGTTCACCGCCTCCGGCGAGGCCTTCTCCCAGAACCTCTACAACACATTGGCCGAAGCCTACTTGTACGTTCTTTGGTTCATTATTGGGGGGGGGCACTTGGCGTCTTGTAGCAGGGTGCTGATGGTGTTGATAACGGTCCAGGTATGTGAAAGATGATCTTACCATCAGCTACCTCGCAACACCATCCATCACGGCGGCCATGACATCTCTGTCGCGCGGCTACAGCACCTTCGTGTCGACTCCTGCCACCTCGCAGGGCAGCTCCGACGGCCTCTACCGCCTGCCCCTCATGGCCGCGGCCATGGGCCTGGGCTACAACTCTTCCCTCTTCTCTAACCACTCTGCGACCAACACCCTCATCCTCGACTCCGCCACTATGGCCGCCATATGGACCGGCGACCTGGTCGACTGGAACGACAGCCGCATCGCAGCCCTCAACCCCTGGCTCGGCCTGCCCGCCGGGCAGCAGCTGACCCTGGTCTACTGCGACGACCTGCTGGGTGAAGGCAACGTGCTGGCCCGCTACCTCTCCAACATCAGCTCCACCCTCGCCGCCCAGCTCAGCGCGCCGGGCAATTTCTCCAACCTGGCGGCGGTGATCTCCGGGCGGGCCGTGGCGGCCTGCACCCCGGCCGATAAGGCGACGGCGCTGGCCCGGCCCGACATGGCCGCGTCGCTGGTGCCCATGATGCTGCCGGACCTGACAGCTGCGGCGCTGGGCTCGGCCCGCATGCGCAACGCGGCCGGGGTTGCGGTCGCACCATCCACGGCGTCGGTCACCCAGGCCCTCACGCTGTCGGAGGCCTCGCTCGACCTCATCAACCTGGGCGACACCGCGTGGCCACTGTCGACCATGGTGTTCGCCGTGGTGCAGACTCAGCTGAGCTCGAGCGACTGTTCGCTGGTCAAGGAGCTCATGAGCTTCGTCAGCTGGATGCAGATCAACGACCAGGCGGCCAACGCCATCACCGCGTCGGGTCACACCCCGCTCGACCGCATCCACCGGCAGAACATGCTCGACACCCTCACCAACGTGACCTGCAACGGCAAAAAGTCCCTCACGACGGCCTTCCTCTCCGGCATGGGTCCGCTCATCCCCAACTACGAGTCGTGGGCCACCGACTACGAGACGAGCAGCTTCAAGCTCAAGTACTACACGTCGTCGTCGCTCGACGCGATCGAAGCGATGATCGAGGGGTCGGTCGACTTCGGCTCGTCGGGGAGCGTGCTGCCCGCCGAGCAGCAGGCCCAGATGCCCGACATGAAGCTCATCCCGGTCGTGGCCTACGGCTACGTTTTCACCTACAACATCCCCTCACTACGCGAGACCGAGGCCCTCGTCATCGACTTCCAGACCGCGTCGGACATATACCTCAACAAGGTGCCACCACCTCCTTCACACTCCTTGCCATCAACAACCAACAAAAAAATGATTGGTTGTGAATGACAGATCAAGACCTGGGACCACCGCAACATCACGGCGCTCAACCCGGGCCTGACGCTGCCGTCGGCGCCGATCGTGGTGGTCTACAACTCGGCGCCGCAGGTGATGACTGGTATCGTCACCAACGCCATCGGGCAGGCCGTGCCCGAGTTCGCCGAGGAGGTCGGCACGGCGAATCTGGTCACGTTTCCCGTCGTGGAACAGGACCCCAACCGCACGCTGGGCCTGCCGAGCCTCAGCGACTACCCGGTCGTCATGCGGGACAACGACTACACGTTCACGACGTGGGTCAGCTTCCTGGCGCTCACGACGGCCAACGTGCGCGTGGCCAAGACCATCAACAAGGCCGGTAACACCATCGAGGTGAGCACCACCACGCTGCGCGCCGCGATCGAATACCTCGAGCATCCGCTGGATATGTACACGCTCCACGCGCCCGGAGAGCTCAGCTGGCCCATGATCAACTACAACGCGTTCATGGTGCGCACGACGGCCATGACCGACTGCAACAAGGCCGCGGCCCTGGTGGACTGGATCTACTGGACCCAGACCGCCGAGAGCGCCTCCGACATCGCTGACTCCAACCGCATCATCGTGGCCAGCGGGTCGCCGGTGCTGATGAGCTACATGCTCGACACAGTGTCCAGCGTCGAGTGCCAGGGCGCCTTCGTGAGCAAGCTGGCCGGCTGCGTGACGGGCGGTGCCGTGTGCTCGGACATGGGAGTGTGCAACGACAACGCGTGCACCTGCAAGGCCGGGAGGGAGGGGACCTACTGCGAGTCGGTGGTATCCGACTCGTCGGTGCTTGTCCCTGTACTAGCCTCGGTGCTGCCGGCCGCCGCGGGCCTGCTGCTACTGATCTTGATCGTGGGCGCCATCGTGTTCGTGTTCGCTCGCCGCCGCGGGGAGGCCGATGACTGGGAGATCGACTACGAGGAGCTGCAGCTGGGCGACCTGCTGGGTGAGGGCGGGTACGGTCCAACCTACCCCTAGCCGCAACGTTAAGGTGGCGATGTGCCACGAACCGCCACTTTAATCAACGCCTCGGTGAGCAGGTACGGTCAGGTGTACAAGGGCACGTGGAAGGGCACGGACGTGGCTGTCAAGATGATGACCGCGGCCGAATCGGTGGCCAAGAACGCGCGGGAGAGCTTCGTCGTGGAGGCTCGCACGATGGCTCACCTGCGGCACCCCAACGTCGTGCTCTTCATGGGCGCCAGCACGAAGCCGCCCAACATGTGCATCGTGATGGAGTTCATGGCCCTCGGCTCCCTCTTCGACGTACGCATCATCTCATTCCCCACCTCCCTTCGTTCTTCTTGATGGCCAACTCACTAGAACCGTCGGACATGTTGCAGCTGCTCCACAACGACCTCATTCCAGACATTCCCATGGCCCTGAAAGTCAAGATCGCCTACCAGGCCGCCAAGGGCATGCACTTCCTCCACTCCTCCGGTACGGCGCCCGTCACAGAGCAACTTTCTTATGCTACCAGTCACTTTAGCTCCGAACTTATCAAAGTTGATCTTAACTCGGTGTAATTCAGGCATTGTGCACCGCGACCTCAAGTCGCTCAATCTGCTGCTCGACAACAAGTGGAACGTCAAGGTGTCGGACTTCGGTCTCACCCGCTTCAAGAACACGATCGACCAGCGCCAGGGGCGCGATGTCGAGGGCAGCGTGCCGTGGATGGCCCCCGAGCTGCTGGCCGAGCTCAACGATGTCGACTACTCCGTCGCCGACGTCTACAGCTACGGCGTCATCCTGTGGGAGGTCCTCACCCGCCTCCAGCCCTACCACGGCATGCTGCCAGCCCAGATTGCCGTCGGCGTCATCCGCAACGACATTCGGCCGAGCCTGCGGGCCGACGTCATCCAGAACCCGGCCACGGCCCCTTTCGTGGCGCTGATGACCAAGTGCTGGCACCGGGACACCACCATGCGGCCCACCTTCGTCGAGATCATGAAGCAGCTGCAGGCCATGATCGAGGACGTCAGCGGGTCCCTGCTCACGTCGACCAGCGGCGGCAGCAGCAGCAGCGCCAGCACCCACAGCGCGGGCAGCAACAGCCGCAGGAACATGACCGGGTCGTCGTACGACTCAGACGCCACAGACAGCAGCAACAAGGGAGGCACCGACTCAGAGGCCCGCGCCAGCAGCAACGACTCGCACTCGTCGCCTCGCCTCAAGTACGGCGTGACCGTGCCCCGGCGCGACGTCACCTTCGTCGTGTGCGACCTGGCCCGCTGCAACGAGTCGTGGCAGACCAACCCCGCCGGCGCAGCCAAGGCCATCACCCGCTTCGGCCAGCTCGTGCGCGACCTGTCCGCGCCTGCCGAGCAGACGGAGCGCGTCAACGCCGCCGCCGGCGGGTACATCTTCTCGAGGCCGGGGCTGCACAGCGGCGGGACCTACATGCTGGCCTTCCCTGAAGCGGCCAGGGCTGCGGCGTTCGCGCTCCACCTGCAGAGGGAGGTGGCCGATCGGGACTGGCCCAGGGGCGTTCAGATCTATGCGCGCGTCGCGCTCCACTTTGCGGCCGGCGTGAGCGGGGCGCCTCGGGACGACGTGACCAGGACTGGCTACGAGCCCGAGAACTACGACGAGGCCTGCAAGCTCAACCTCCGCTGCCGACCGGGCGCTGTGGTCTGCTCCTCGGCCTTCTCCACCCGGCTGGGCTCGCACCCCTCTGCCGCCGACTTCAAGCTGGTGCCCAGGGCCGAAGACGCCTATCAACTCGTCAGCCACGACGACGCCGTCGACCAGGTGGAGCGAAAGAAAGGTGCTGGTGATGGCGATGGCGATGGCGACGGCGATGATGATGAAGAAGACGAGAAGTGGGCGGAGGAGCAGTGGGATCAAGGCATGGGCCTGTGCTCGTCGAACTGCTGCGCGTGGATCATCAACACGAGCAAGATCTCGATGGGCGCCAAGATCGGCGAGGGCAACTTCGGCAGGGTGGTGGCCGGCGCCTACTTTGGCACCAAGGTGGCGGTCAAGCAGCTCTACAAGACCAAGCTCGACGACCTGGCCCTCACCAAGATGCGCAAGGAGGCCGCCATTCTCAGCGGCCTGGACCACCCCAACATCGTCAAGCTGATCGGCCTGTGCGTGTCGTCCAACGGCGACGGCGGGCCGATGCTGGTGATGGAGCTCGTACCGCGGGGCAACCTGCGCGCCCTGCTGGCCGACGGCTCGGTCCGGCTCGGGTGGAAGCAGAAGCT